GCCTCCCCCTCCGCGGCTTCCCCCGCCCCCTCCGCTCCCCCTGCAACCCCCTCGGAGGTGACTGAGACCTTCAGCTGCTCTGGGAAGGGAGGGGAGGCGCTGCACGCCGAGGGAGGGGGCTGCGGGGCGGGAGGCGCGGGGCCGAGGCCGCAGCAGCTGGACACTGACCCGGAGGACCACGGCTGGCAGGAGCGCGCGAGGAGCGCGGGAGGTGGGAGCGGACAGGGCTGACCTTGCTCAGGAGAGCGAGAGGTGCAGAGGCGGGGAGCAGCGGGGAGAGAGGGAGGCGAGGTGGAAATTGGCCGGGAAATGGGGGTCTGGATGTGACCGCGAGAGGGGTGAAACTGACCAGCAGATGGGGTGAGAGCGACCACTGTTGAGGGTTGAAATTGAACCAGTATCTGGCGGCGCAACTGACCAGCAGATTGTTCCAGAGGTCACTGGCTAAAATTGATGTTGATGCAGCTGAAGGAAGCGGGGAGGCAACGGGAGGGAGGGAGGTCTGGCGTCCCCTTCCCAAGAGGACTCTTCTCTGTAATACCCCCCCCCCCCCCCCCGCCCACCACCACCAGGGGACTAATTGCAGCATGGGGGAAGGGGGCTGGGGCAGCTGGCCTTGGGAAGGGAGATGGTATCAGTGCCTGGAGCGTCCTCAGCATCTGTCCCTTTGTGGCTTCTGGGGATGGAGGCAGGGAGGGGGGACAGAAATGAGGGGGGTTTCGCCTGGCCTGGTTGCCTGTTGGCGCTGCAGCTGTCTGGGGGCGAGGACACTAAGAGGTTTGGGGTAAGGGAAGCAAAGAGGTGTGCTTGCCTATTCCAGAGCAAACACGGTTTTTCTTTCATCCTAAGGGGGCTTGTTCAGCTCCCCCCAATACTGAAGTAAGAGAGGGGTGATCCGGAAGAGTAAGGCTGCAGATTCCCTTCTCCCAGTGCCCCACCCCCACCCCCACCCCCTGACCCCCAGGGTGGGCTTGTGCCTGTGGCTTGGAGGGGAGGGAAACCTAGACAGAAGTCAGAGCTGACACTGGTGCGAAAATGCACCTGGGGAAGAACAGTGGGTCGGGGCCATGTCTATGCTGTCTGTGATTTGCGTTCCTGGTTTCTAACGGGGGTTCTAGCAGGAAACCCCCAGAGAGCTCAAGGCGGGATCGCCAGGAGGCTGTTATTTTTTCCCATGGGGAAACTGAGGCACAAAGATGGGGAGGACTTGCTCAGAGCCACCGCACAGCTCATGTCTGCCCGCATGTCCTGATGTGGCCTGGCTGGGGCGGCACTGGAGACCCACTAGAGTGTCTTCATGGGCTCAGCGTTTCTCTGCCTCTGCCCCACGGTTAGCCCCATTTTCCAGGCAACGACACTGAGGTCCGGAGCTGAGCGGGCAAAGCCCCTCACCGCAGCAGGGGCTTCCGTATGTCCTCTCCCCAGCTTTGGCCGTGTCGCCCACATGAACCTGTTGAACTCGGTCCTCCTCCTGCACTGCCTCCACGCCCCCCCCCCCCCCCCCCCCCGATCAGCGACAAGACAGCGTCCCTGGGGACTGCCAGGGAGCAGGGCGGGTAATTGTCCTGTTTTCTGTCAGCCGCCAGGCAATTCCCGGCTCGGGGATGAGCTGTTGACAGATCTCATCAAATCTGAGCCCTCTCCCTGTCAGATAAATGCGGGACGTCTGAGGTATAAATATTTGAAAGGGGCCTTCTAATTACAGCGTGTGTCAGGAATAGCAATTAGAGGCCCTGGAGGCAGAATCAAACGGCCGTTTGACTTTCCTGGGCTTTTGAGCTGGCTTCTCCTGGGGCCGCCCGCCCTCCCCCACCCCCCCCCACCCCCCACCCCGCCCGAAGGAGAGGAGCCGTCAAAGGGTTCCGGGAGGAGCGAGGAGCGGAGCGGGAGATGGTGGATGAGGAGAGTCAGCCTAGGGGGCTGGCGACCTTGCTGTGTGCCCTTGAAGAACCTCAGGAACTCGGGTTTCTGCATGTTGATGGGCAGCGGCGGGTGGGCACTGCACGGACGAAGGCGAGCAGGTGGGGTGGTCTAGGGGTCCTAGGCTGAGGCTTCCGCCCTCCCTCCAACCCCCGTAGTCCGGGAGGCAGTGTATGAGGGCGGCTCAGTTTCCAGAAACCCAGCTCTCCTGATCTTGGGTGGTGACCTGGGCTGTTTTCCCGTCTCTGAGATGGGAGAACAGCTGACCTCTACTGAGTGCTTCTGGGCGCTGTTTGGAGCATCTTTTGTTGTTGGTTTTTTTGTTTTTTGTTTTTGAGATACAGTTCACATGCCCAACAATTTACCCACTTGAAGTGTGCATTTCAGTTTGAGAATGTTCACAAGATCATGCAACCATCACCACTCGTTCCAGAACATTTTCATCACCCCAACAAGAAACCCCACTCCTCTGGGCACTCTCTAGTCTTCCCACTTCTCCCACACCTGGCACCTCTAATCCACTTTCTGTCTCTCTGGGTGGGCCTGTTCTGGACCTTTCACATAAATGGAATCACACTCTACGTGGCTTTTTGTGTCTGGTTCTCTCACTGAGCATTGTGTTTCCAAGGTCCATCCGTGTGTGTGTGTGCGCGCGCGCGCGCGTGCGCTCCCTTTATGGCCCAGTAATATTCTGTTGCATGGCACATAGTAGGTGCTCAATATATGCTTTAGGTAAGTGGGACCTTAAGGAGCCAGTTGGGGTCCCTGGGGGGGTGCTGTGCCTGCCTTCTCTGTCCCCTCATCCTTGTCTCATGGAACAGCCAGTCTGGAGGGGGGATGGGAGCCAAGGCACCAGGATAAGAAGGGACGGCTCATGGTGGGGCCTAAACACTCTAATCTGATGGAGGAGACATAGCCCTGTGCTAGGAGCTCCTACTCTGATAGGAGAGACAGTCTCTGCTCTAAGAAGCTCCTAGACACACCCGTGCCTTTTAAAACTCGCAGTTTGATGGGAGAGGCATGGTCTTGACCTCAGAAGCCTCAGTCTGATGGAGGAGATAAGTATCTGCCTCAATAGGCTCCCAGTCTGATAGGGGAGGCATGATTCTACCCACTGAAGCATTCAATCTGACGGAGGAGGCATGGCTCTGATTTCAGGGGTTTCCAGTCTGATTCGAGACATGGCCCTCCTTTTAGGTGCCCCTAGTCTAATGGAGGAGACAAGAGCCTATCCTTAGGAGTCCCTGTCTGATAGGGCAGGCACGGTCCAGCCTTCAAGGACACCTAGTCTGATGGAGGAGAGATAGCTCTGTTGTCATGAGTGCCCAATCTGATGGGAGAGGCACAGCCCAGCCCTTGGAGGCTCTGTCGGCAAGAGTTGCAGTGGAGTTTGGTCATTAAAGGTGTAGCCTCGGAGCCTTGCAGTGGCAAACCAGGTCCTGTCCCTCACTCACTCTGAGACCTTGGCCAAGGAGCTTCCCGCCTCTGTAAAATCGGGCAGTAACACGACATGTACCCGAGGGAGTGAGCGGCAAGTTTTGGTGTAGAGGGAGCTTGGTGCAGAGCCTGTCACGCAGTTAGAGCCTGGGAAATGGGGCATTGGCCCCTGTCTCTGTGAAGTCCAGGCTCAGGCCAAGTGGGCTCTAGCAAGAGGGCAGGCCACCCCCCACAAGTCCCTCTGCTGTGTGGCGGCCCCCAGGGGGACTGATGGAGGAGATTCTGGATGAGGTCTGACAGCTCCCCAGGATGACAGACATGGAGCGTGCTGGGGGTGGTGGGAAATGGGGGCTGTCAGCAGTGACTGGGGGAAGGCAGGCTCCAGAGAGTGGGAGGGGGCCCAGGGGATGAGGGGAAGAGTAGGGGGTGGAGGCCCTGGAGGATCAGCATGCACGCGCGCGCGCGCGCGCGCACGCACACACACAACACACATGAGAGACCCTGATGTGTCTCTACCCCTCTGCTCACTCGCTAGACCCCTGGAACCCCCACCGGGAACTGGAGCCAAGAGCAGAATGGCTCCCAGGTCATAGGATGGGAGAATGAAGCATAAAAGCCTGCAGGGAGATAAGATTAAGAGTTCCAGTGAGTTCCACTTAGTTCCCACTAAGTGCCTGGATGGTCTCAGATGCTGGGGCTACACTCATCACACAACTACCCTCGCAAAGCTCACGGTCGACCAGGAGGCGGGGGTCTGGCAGGTAGACCCTCTGCTGCCCTCCAGTGACCCTGACCTGCTGGTGGTCACAGCCACGTGTAACCCCTTTCCTTTGAATGTGGCCAGACCTGTGGCTTGCTTCCAACCAGGGGAACATGGCAAAGGTGACAGAATGCCACTTCTCGAAGACTCCCGTCGTGCTGGCTTTAGGAAGCCAGCCTTCAGAGGGCCATGTAGGCCAGCAGCTGAGGGCGGCCTCTGGCTCAGAGCCCATGAGGAACTGCCAACAGACAAGTGAGCAAGCTTGGAAGTGGATCCGGCCCCAGACAGGCCTTCAGATGAGACCACAGCCCTGGCCCATGTCTCAAGGTAAGCTTCAAGACCCTGAGGCAGAGAACCCAGCAAGGCTGCACCCAGACTCCTGTTTGCCGCTGGGAACTTCTGAGAGATCTCGTTATGCAGGGGTAGCTAATACTGGGGGTGGTGGGCAAGACACACACCTCACGATGGCGCCCCTCCCAACCACCTCACCCTGCTGTTTTCATCCAGAGCAATCACTGCCTCCAGTGCATGTTTGCTTCACTTCATAGCTTATTACTGTTTTTAGATACATTCACGATCTTCTGCCCCATCTTCCGAACAGAACGCCACCACTATGAGAGGGAACCATGTGTTTTTTTTTTTTTTTCTTTAGGGTATTATGGTCGTTATGTTTTCCTTCAGTGTTGTAGCCCCAGTGCCTAAAACAGATCTGGGCACAAAGTAGGTGCTCGATAAAATAATGTATAATAAATATGTATTATATATGTGTAACTCATACATCTTATATATAACCTATATCAACTATATTTATATTATATACATTATAAATTTTATAATACGTATTACACATATAAATTTTATACATATTTTATTTTAACATATATCTTGCATATAAATTATATACTTTTTTTTTTTTAGCAAGCAACTTGCTTCAGGAAACTCAAACGAGTGAATCCGCACAAGCTCAGCACAGGTCAGGCAAGCGGCAAGGACTTCTCGAACGTCTGCTGTTACCTCACAAAGTGGATCCTGTGTACTTCATCCCCTGTGCCACACTGAGGAGAGCGCAGCTTGGGGTGAGGGGGTGTCGGCACCTTCCCCTGGAGGCCGTGAGGAGCAGGAAGAGCAGAGCTGGGCGACCCAGACGGGGGCTGGCGACCTTTCTCTACCAGGGACCCGACGGTGAACCTGTTGGCTCTGCCACTGCAGAGCGCAGCGGCCACACGTTACCCGCACGCAAACGGGCCTGTCGCTGTGCCGACAAAACTTTGTTCACAAACTAGGCTGTGGGCCGGCTCTGGTCCACCAACCGTAGCTCGCTAATCTGTGTTTTGGAATGGAGTTCATAATCTTTAGTAAAGAACAGTGACAGGTGGCACGCACACACGGCGACAAGCGACAGGAGCTCAGGAAACGGTCTGCGAGAATGAATCAGAGTGAACCGGGGGCCCCACGCCCCATCTCTTCCACAAGCGCTTCTTCGGCTGGATGCTTTCCTCTGGCCAACCGTCTGAGCAGGCTCATCGCAGGCACCGTGCGCGACACTGACCCTGACCTTGGGGAAAAGAGGCCGCGGCACGCTACCCGCCCCCCCCCCCAGCATGGGGCACCGATTTGCAGCCCCTCCACTGTCAGTGTTTCAGAACCAGGACCCCGGGGCCTGTCTTCACGGCCGGGAGCTGCGAGGTGAGGGCCTGGGGGCCTGGCTGGATCCCAGTTCGCTTCTTCCAGTCATACTTAAGCACAGAAATCATTGCAGGAAAGTGGATCCCCAAAGTGGGGGCTTCTCATCTCCCAAACTCTGATAGCAAGAAGCACAAGGCCTCATTACCAAATGCCAAACAAATGTGAATGACAAATGTGAATGTGCCTGAGAGAGAGAGAGAGAGAGAGAGAGAGAGAGAGAGGAGGGCTGACGCTGGCGACCCCGGGGTGGGGCGGACGGGAGCAGAGCTGCAGGTCAGGTGCTGAAGGAGTCTGGCGGGAGCACAAGACCTTCAACTAGAAAACTCCGAAGTGGGAGGGAATTATACCGGAGTTGAAATCCGGCAACCTTGAAAGAACGTGAGCTTCGGAATCGATTTCCTGGTCACGTGACCAGTGACGTACTGGTGATCTACTGCCACATAACAAATTCTCCCCAAACACCCACTAATCAACGAGCCTTTCCCATCTCACAGCTTGTGAGAACCAGAGGCCAGATTGGCCACACTGTGTGGTTCTGCGGCCCCCCCGCCGCCCCCAGAAGCCGGCGGAACAGGGGCCCAGCCCAGACAGCGGTTCCTTTCATTGGCTTGCGGGTTTTGTGGCCAGAAGGGGCAGCGCTAGTAAGGGGTGGGTGCGTTCTCCCGCGTGCCCCCCCAAACACAGCCGAGCCCTCGCGGCTGTCAAAGGGAGGACCCCGAGGCCTGCCGGGAGCCGAGCGCCGTTCCGGGGATGCCGCAGCCCCAAACAGAGGGCCAGGAGGGCGGCAGCGTGAGCTGGGGACCCCGAGGTCCCCGAGGGCCGGCAGGTGGGGGGACAGGAGGAACCGAGTCCCTCGGCCGAACCCCTCGCTGGCCCTGCCGCCTCAGAGGACGCCGGGGTTTGTCCGGTCATGCGCGGCTCCGGTTGGTGCCGAGGCATCCTGCCCCCACCACCAGCTGACGCCGGACACGGGACCCTGACCCGGGGAAGGGCCTGGGGTCTCAGTTGCTGCCGCTGCTGTCCTCGCTGTCTGAATAGGCCCCCAGCTGGCTCAGGGAGGAGGCACCGGGCGTCCGGGGCGCAGGCTCAGCCGGCTTCCCGCTCTGCATGGGGCCTGGGTGGGAGGCGAGAGCTAGGCTACGCGGCCTCAACCCCACAGCCCTGGTTCAGGGCACACCGCCCCCGCTCCCCACCACTCAAGATGGCTCCCCCAAGCTGCAAGGCCACACTGGGGGCGCTGCTGCCACCTGGTGGCCGCTTGAGGCGCTGCACCCCGGTCCCAGGACCCCAGGGCACCTACCCTGGGTGGTGGGTGGCGGCGGTGCCAGGCTCTGCTGGGTGCTGCAACCCAGGTCTGTTCTCTTCACCACGACTAGGCCTGACAGCTGGGGCCTGCTGCCGAGGGTGCCAACACTCCGTTCCCAGCTCTCCGCCTTCCTCTTGGCTTTTGGGGCCTGGGAGTGAGGGGGGGACTTGAGTGGGTGAACTGGCCCAAATGCCACCTTCTCCAGCCTCCCTGCACTTAACACTTCCTGCAATCACACCACGCCTTCTCCCCTCCGTGCATTTACCCGTGCCATTCCCAACACCTGCAATGCCCCCTTTCCTCTAAAGCATTTGGTGAACTCCTCCTCACCCTTCAATACCCAACCCAAGCATCAGCTCCTCTGGGAAACCTTTCTTTCCAATTCAGCCTCAAGTGATCAAGTGAGTGCCGCATGTCCGTGCCCCCAGTGCCCTCCACTGCCTTAGCACGTACCCCCTCATCTATGCTGGGGGTTCCTGTCATGTTCATGACTGGGCCCATAGTGCCACAAACACCTCTTGGCATGAAGATGCTCTCCCAATGCGTTTGAGGGAATGAAGAGAAACGGAGGCCCCCACTTTGGGGGCTAGTGAGGGGAAGGCAGAGAGGGACTCAGCCCCACCTCCAGCCCTTCAGCCGCACAGGAGAGGACCCCTTTTCTGTTTTATGTTCAAACAGAGGAACGAGAACCCCCCGGACTCAGGAGGTCCTGTCTGAGCTAGGAGCTGGAGCCACAGGGGGCATGGTGGACAGGGTGCTGCCTTCCTGGGGCCCACCGTCGAGGGAGGAGGGAGGATGGACAAGCAAACAGATCAACAGGACAAAGTCTGTCCTGACAAATGGTGTGACACAAAGACAGACATCAGTGTGGTGTGACAGCACGAGGGAAGAGCGGCCAGTCGACAGGGCAGTCAGGACAGGTCTCCTCAGAGAGGGGGCTGTGGGCTGACTTCAGGAGGGAGAGGAGTTAGCAAGTGGAGACGCGAAGGACAGTGCTCCAGGAGGCGGACTGGGCTTGGCACATGCAAGGGGGCTGGTTCGGCTGGAGCCGGGACCCCGCGAGTGCTGCCCCGGGACAGATGTGGTCCAGTGGGGTGCGGAGAGGGGCCAGCGATCCCAGCCACAGCTTTCTGAGCCGACTCACGCGGCCCCCAGCGTTAGCCCTAGTGAGCCCCCTCCCCAAGCCCGTGTCCACCAGATGCACACGCTGCCACTAAATGAAACCACGGACACGGACACAGGCACCACAGGCACGGAAGGGGACGGGCTCCCGTAAACGTCACAGTGAGGGTTTGGGAAGTCTCGGCAGAGCCGTATTGTGCAAAACTAAACAAAAAGTCTGTCATCAAACTAGGTGCAAGGAAGACACCTGGAACAGATCGGGCCGGGGGGGGGGCAGCAAAGAAACACAGATTGCTTTCACAGTGGATCCAATCTCTTGTTCCACGTGAAAGCATAAAAAGGAAATTTTAGACAATTCTGGGGGCGGTTTATGCAAGAAAGACAGTGTGAGACCTGTCACCAGGGGACAGATCCTCAAAGAAAACATTCTGGTTCCGTGTGGGAGAGTAAGGGATGGGCGTGCACGTCCCCCAGGGCCATTCTCTCTGCTGACAGTCCTGGGAGCCTCACGGGAACATGGCTGCGCCCCAGAAAGACTACATTTCCCATCCTCCCTTGCAGCAGGACGTGCTCAGGTGACTCGGCTCTGACCAGGGGAATGTGTGCAGCAGGATGTGTGGGACCAAGGGTACAGCGGCCCTGAGCGTCCTTCTCCCCTGCCCGGCCCTCGCCCCGGGCTAGGATGTGAAGGTGGTACTGAGACACCCTGCAGGGAGGGCAGCCCCCCAGGCCAGCAGAAGCCCGAGCAGGATGCTGCCTGGGGCCCATCGCCGTCCGGGGTGGCTGTGCACAACTTTCCAACAGAAAAGTAACCTCCGTGCAGTCGAGACCGCGGGACTCCGGGTCTTACCCAGTGGCTGAACCTGCATCTAGCTAGCACAGACCACGAAGACGTCTGAGTTAAAATAAAATGTGTATGGGGTGACTACTCCTTAGCATTTCCCGCCTTAGCCCCTGACGTCCATCAACACACCAGCGTGGCCCTGACCAGCGGGGTGGATGAGACGCCGTGCTGTGAAGTCCACCCGCCAAGTCCTCCTCCCTCCCTCTGCCGCAGCCCCCAGGTCCCCTGCGGCTCACTAGTCGGGCTGCCTCTGATGCTGAGCTGCGGGGCCCTGGTGGGTACCCCTCTCACCCCCACCCCGGCTGGAAGCTGTGACCCTAGAGCTGGGACCGACGCTCCAGGAGAGAGCAGACGGAGAAGCTGGAAAGAGCCTGGGTCCCTGAGCGCTGGGAGCAGCACTGCCTGCCAAGTCCTGGCGGTCACCCCAGGGCTGTTACGGGGACCGGGAAATACACATCTGTGTTCCTAAGTCTCCATGTTTGGGGGTCTGCTCGTCTCAGCGGCTGAGCAGAGGTTGGTAAACCGCAGCCCTGCACGCCTGCCACCGCCTTCGGAGACAAGGTTGTCCCGGCATGTGGCCGGGCCCGCTGACTCACAGGTGGTCTCCGGCAGGGCCAGGCTCCCCCTCTCTGCTGCCCTGAGAGCACTGGGTGGGGGGGGGGGGGCGCACTCACCTCATCCAGGATGGCGGTGGGCTTGGGCCGGAGGGCCAGCCGCGGTGCAGCGGGAGCAGGCACGTCCTCCTCTGAATCGGAGTCCTCCAGCAGCCGGCGTTTGCGCGCCTCCTCCACCAGGGCCCTGCGGGATGGCACGTGCGCCTGCGATGCCCTGCTCAGCTCACCACCCCTCCTGACAGCAGTGAGCGGGGCAGGGAGGAGTATCCAAACTCCTTGCAATCCTCTCTGTCCACAGAGGGCTGTGGGGCTAAGGGCTGGCTGATGGCACCAGCCCGCCTCAGCTGGGACCCCGGCTGGGTGACCCGGGCAGGGCCACGCCTGGAGCTCCCCACATGCAGACTCCTCTCCCGGCTGTGCGCCATTCGCCACCCCGCCCACCTGCCGTGCACCTACTATGCGCCTGGCCCTGTTCCAGGCCCCGGGAACGCAGAAGCCAAACAAGCCCCTGTCCAGATTCTGGAGGAGGGAGGGAAGGAGAGAGCCAATGAACCAGGAGATGGGTGAAGCAGGGCGGTCAGTGCCGTGCAGAAAGTGTGAACGCAGCAGGCCTGGGTGAGTCATCCAACCTAGGGGGAGTGACGTCGGTGACCGCGACACAAGTGCCATGGGAGAAAGTGAGATGGGGGGGGCGTGGGGAAGGCCTCCTGCAGGAGGGACACTTGAAGGAGCCACAGAAGATCTGGAAGGAGGGTGTTCCAGGCGGAGGCCTGAGCAAAGGCTGTGAGGTGGCTCGAACGCCTGGGACCCCCGCCCGGCCCCACGCGGCCCACTCACGCCGTCTCCCGCTCCTCCTCCTCCCGCTCCTGCTTCTGCCGCTGCTCCTCCGACAGCCGGTGCTGCCGCAGCATGGCCTCGAAGTCCACGTGGGCCTGCCGCTGGTTCAGGTCCTTGAGCTCCTGCAGGTTCTCCAGAACCTCCATCTCCAGCTTCGAGTCCTTGGTCCGGTTCTCCAGCACCTGGCGGGCAGGACCCAGGCTGAGCGTGCGGGGCCGCCGCCCCTCCGTGCAGCTGCTGGGGTTACGGAGGGCAGCAGCTGCCAGGGGAGGAGCCCCCACGCCTGCCTGCACCCACAGCACCTGCTCAGGGGCCTCCTGCCCGGTCCCCCTGCTGCACCCATTTCCCAGCTCAGAGCACCCAGGCTTGGGGACGGGGAGTGGTCTCCTGAGGCCCCGTGGTTGGACGTGCAGCCGGGCACCTTCATGAAATAAAAGTAAAAACACAGATGAGGGGCCTGGCTGGCTGTTAAGGGAACGTGCGACTCTTGACCTCCCGGTCGTGAGTTCGAGCCCCACGTCGGGTGTGCAGCTACTTAAAAAAAATCATAGTAACAAAGATTAAAAACGACAATTGTTACATGCCAGGCCCCAGGCTGACACGTTGCCTAGCGTAAGCTTGTTTCATCTCTGCAACAGTGCAGAGGAACCAGGCCAGCCCGGGTGTCCGAGGCGTGGGTGGGAAGCCTGCGTCAGCCGCTTCTGGGCTGAGACCCCGTACAGAGGGAAGCAGCAGTCCCGACGTTTTGAATATGAGTCCCCCAATTCTTTGATGCTCCTCCCCTGAAAAAGCAGAGCTTCATGCCCCTTCCCGTGAGTGCAGGCTGGACTCTGTGACCAAGTCCAGCGAGCGGAGTGTGATGGGATGACAGTGTGTCACTCTGAGAGCAGGTCCTAAAAGGCTTCCTCCCTGCTCCTCTGGATCACTGGCTCTGGGGAGGCCGGCGCCATGTCGTGCGGGGTGCAGAGGGCCCCGTGGCAGGGACATGGCCAGCTGAGCCTTCACAAGATGCGGCCTGGCCTGCAGCTTGACTTAGGCCCTCCCGAGAGACCCCAGGCCTGAACACCCAGCTCAGCTCCCTGGGCCTCCTGACCCCCAGAAACTGGAGGATGAGAGGTGTTTGGTAAGTTGCGGTTTTGGGGTAACTAATTAGGCCGTAAGCCCCTGTGGCCATGTGGGCGGTCCATGATGGACATGACCGCTCAGGCGGCTCTGGGCACACGCCGCCTCCGCGGAGCCTTCCTCCCTGCCTGCCGCTCCGCTCACTGCGGAACGTCCCGCGTCAGGTCCAATGGAAGAGGCCAGCGGAAGATGATGATTTGTTTGAAGAAGACCAATCAGAGTTTCAACACTCAGGGATTCCTGCCTATGTGCCGGGCCCCATCCCCAGAGTTTCACATGTACAAACTCACTTAAGCCCCACCACAACCTCTGCGGCCGGTCTTCAATCCCACTTGACACACAGGGATGCTGAAGCACAGAGAGGCCAAGTGCCCTGCCCAAGGTCACACAGCCAGGCAACATTAAAGAGAATGTTTCCTTCCATACTTCTAGTCTTCACAGCCATTAGTCACGGGCATCTTCTTTGCAAACTGAGGGGCAGCCAGCCGCAGGAAACACCTTGCATTCTCAAGTCCAACTTCCTGCCTCCTGATACTCATTTCCTCTGGCTGCACGACAATCTGCCACCAGCTCAATGGCTTAACACCACAGGGACCTCGCTGTCCCCTGGCTGGTGTGGGTCAGGAGCCCGGCGCAGTGCGCCTGGGTTCTCCGATAAGGCTTCCACAGGCTGAAATCAGGGGCCAGTGGTCTCATCCGAGGCCCAGCCTCGCTCGGACTGCTGGCGGAATTCTGTTCCTTGTGGTTGTGGGACTGAGGTCCCCGCTTTCTTGCTGGCTGTTGACGGGGACCCCCACTGCTCCCTGCCATGCGGGCCCCCCCTGCAGGCCTGCTCCTTCACATGGCTAATGTCCTCTAGACCCAGATGAAGGGCTCCGGTGAGAGATCTGGCCCGTTGGACAACCTCCCTTTCCTGAGTCCGACCGTGACCCAACGTAACGACCTGATTGCAGGAGTGAGGTCCTTGCGTGCGCACTCCCAGGGCTACCCAGGGTGTGTGACCAGGAGGCAGGGCTCCCGGGGCCACCTTGGAGCTCTGCCCACCCCACTGCCCTGCCCGGGGGCCGAGGCAGGAAGAGGGGCACACGGGCAGCGCCCGGCTCACCTTCATGGGGTTGTTCAGCTCCTCGTCCTCCCGCTCCTTCTGCATCCGCTTCTCCTCCTCCTCCAGGAGCTTCTCCGCCTGGAAGTTCCGTGTGGCTCCGTGCTCCATGGTGTAGTCTGTGTTCTCGGGGTCTGTCTGGAGAATGGGCAGAGGTCAATCCCATGTCCCTGGGCATCCAGAGCTCCTGCTAGCCGGCAGCCAGCAGCCTGGGAGAGCGCCTCCCCGTGCCTCGCTCCTGCTCATGCCTTTCCTTGTCTTTTTTTTTTTTTCTTGTTTAAGATTTATTTATTTTAGAGAGAGAGCGAGCCTGAGCTGGAGGGCCAGAGGAGGAGAGAGAGAGAATCTCAAACAGACTCCCTGCTGAGTGCCGAGCCCGACGCGGAGCCTGACACGGGGCTCGATCTCACAACCCTGAGATCAGGACCTGAGCTGAAACCAAGAGTCGGACACTCCACCACTGCGCCCCCCAGGCGCCCCCCCCTTTACTTAACCCCTGGGTCGAATACTACTTTCTAGTGTTCCTGTCCTTTCACAAAATGCCAAATTCCACAGCATGGATCTTCAGGCCCCTCTGCACCTGCCTGCTGCCACCCTCCGCCCTCCGCGAATATGAGTCTCTGGGCCTTTGCACGTGCCCTGCCTTCCTGTCTGCTCTGTGCGTGTGTGCACGTGTGTGCGCTCATGTGTGCATCTGTTCACAGTTTTCCATACTTATAAATCACATATCAAGTACATACACGGCACGCTCCTACATGCATTTCTAGAATGGAGAGGGGAAATATAAGCTGGCATCCTGGATGAGACCCTGGAACAGAAAGACGGCATCAGGGAAAACATGGAAACCCACGTTGTGTGTGGAACGTGGCTGACGGTGACGTTCGGGTCGGTTTCTTACTGCAACAGAGACAGAGGCACTGCGGGCGTGGAGGATGCGGGCAGGAGGGGAAGCGGGCGAGGGGCCGGCGCGACCCTCTGTGCCGGCTCTGCAGCTTTGCCGTGTGTCCAGAAGGACTGTTTCCAGGCATGGGGCTGGCTGGGCAGGGGGAGCGGCAGGTGGATTTCCGGCGCCGGCCCCGCAGCTCCGTTTGAGCTCTGTTTCTACCACGCACGCATGCGCGTGGGGATCCGTGACCCAAGCGTGTAACCCCAGCTACTTAATCACCCGAAGTTCTTCACCAGAAAGGCCAACTTATACCACTTTCCTCTAGTCTTGAAAAAATTCGTATGTATTCGTAAACATCTAAACATATCATTACAATGCAGGTAGAAAGATCATTTTCTGGAAATGACCCAAGTGTCCATCAGGAGGCAGATGGCTGCGCACAACGTGGTATGTTCCTGCGCTGGAGCGTGATTGAGCGTGAAGTGGAAGGGGCCCCGTCACACACCACGGTGTGGGGGACCCCGGAACCACACCAGGACACAAACACAAGGACAGAGCGCGTGGCGCCACTCACAGAAAACATCTGCAACGGGCAGGTCCCCAGACGGAGAGCAGACGGGTGGCTCCCAGGGCGGGGGCAGGTACAATGGGAACCGACTGCTAACGGTTATGGGGCTCATTTTGGGGGCGATGAAAATTTCCTGGAATTGGGCACGGGGTCAGTTTAGTCCCCCGTGAATATACTAAACATCACCGGATCATACACTGTAAAAGGTGAATTGCATGATATCTGAATCATATCTCACTACAGCTGTTGTTTAAAAAGTACTCCAAATAGGGGCACCCGGGTGGTGCAGTCGGTTGAGCATCCGACTCTTGACTTCAGCTCAGGTCATGATCTCCAGGTGGTGAGATCGAGCCCCATGTTGGGCTCGCGGTCAGTGGGGAGTCTGCTTGAGAGTCTCTCTCCCTCTGCCCCTCCCCCGCAGCCTGTGTGCACACGTGCTTGCTCTCTCTCAAATAAATAATCTTAAAAAAAAAAAAGTAATCAAAATACGTAATTCTTTCAATGTACTTTTTTTATACCCACAGTATAAATTTTATACCCATAGTATACCCAAAAGTACCAATGTACTTTTTTTTATTAAAGGGAAGAGCATTTGGTAAGAAGAAACTCCAACAGAACATAAGGTCCTCGGCCGTTCCCCCAAATTCTCAACACAGTTGTGACCGTGACCGGTTACACGCCACGTCACGGTGCTGTCTGTTCCCTGAATCCCGTGTCACGGAACATCTGGGCCTTTGTACATAATGCTGCCGGGAACAAGTCTGTCTCCTGGGGACAGAGTGAAACAGGAGCTCCGTGGAGGGAGAGGCTAGGAACGGGGAGCCCCCGGGGGGAAGGACCAGCCCTGCTGGGCTGGTGTCTACCTTGAAGGTGATCTCTGCCAGGCACCGTGTGCACTTGATGTAGAAGCGGAAGATGGGCAGGCCCAGGTAGGCCTCGTTCTGCACCGTCTCCTTGCGCGCATTGAACTTCTTGCCCTTGTAGATGTATTCTCCGCACGTCTTGCACCTGTGGGGCAGGACGGAGGGACTCAGGCCAGCACGGCACCCTGGTGCCCATTGGTGGGACACTGGCATTCTGGCAGATGGCTGCTGGCATACCTCACGGGACAGGGAGCTCCCCCATTCCCGAGGCAGCCTGCCTCAGATTCCCCCCACCTGGCACGCTCTTCTTACTACGTGCCTGGGCCTTGACCCCGGGGCCCCCTTCCGGGGAAGCGTCCAGGTGGCCCAGACCTGCTGAGACTCGCCTGTCACACGCTCGCAGCAGCCTGGCTGGAGCTTGTGGGGCACCTTGGTCCCCAGAGCGTCCTCCCTGCCCCGCCTAGGCCCTGACACACAGCAGGTGCCTGAAAGGATTGCTGCGTTTTAAAAATAAATGGATGAAGGAGAGAAACAGACCAATGAGAGGCAAAAACACAGTGAGTTTCAGAGAACAAGGTGTCTGATGATCGGGTGAATCCGACTTCAATTTGCTAAAACGTGAAAAAGCATGAGGCTCAAAATCGGTAAGACACAGTAATTGTGAAGCAGTACAAAGGGCAAGATCTGGGGATGGTGAGGGAGAGGGGGATCGTGGAAGGGGCCAGGCAGTGGGTCATGAGGGCCTCTCTGAGGCAGTGAGGTTTTTTTAAGATTTTATGGAAAAAAGTTTTTTGAAATATATATCTTTAAAGCTTATTATTTTCTAAAAAATTCATCTCTACACCGAACGTGGGGCTTGAACTCACGACCCTGAGATCAAGAGGGTCCACCAACTGAGCCAGCCAGGTGCCCCTGAGAGGGTGAGATTTAAGCCAAGACCTGAGGGGTGAAGAAGAGCTGGCCAAGTGAGAGCAGAAGGAAGAATGTTCCAGGCAGAAGGAACAGCCTGTGCAAAGGTCCTGGGGTATGAAGAAGTGTGGCTGCTGGAGGCGGTGAATTAGTACACAAGGTCCCATCTCTGCACTCATACTTATTACCTACGATCAAGATCTCAAGGCAGGGGCGCCTGGGTGGCTCAGTCGTTAAGTGTCTGCCTTCGGCTCGGGTCGTGATCCCAGGGTCCTGGGACCGAGCCCTGCATCGGGCTCCCCGCTCCGTGGGAAGCCTGCTTCTCCCTCTCCCACTCCCCCTGCTTGTGTTCCCTCTCTCGCTGTGTCTCTCTCTGTCAAATAAATAAAATCTTAAAAAAAAAAAAAAAAAGATCTCAAGGCAGATACTGGCTGGGAGCTCTGAGTCAGGGGGTTAATCCCGATCTGTGAGGAAAGTGAGGGCTGGCACAGTCCCGTGCTCACTGAGTCGATGTCTGAGCCGGCACTGGGGACCTGGTCTGAGTACCAGGGATGAGCCACTCTATGGGGGTGTCAGGCACCGGGTCTGTCTGCCAGGACTTATGTGGGGGGCCACGTGAGGGGCCACGTGGGGAGTTACACGGGGGGGCACTCACCTCATGTTGAAGGGAGCCATCAACCGCACCACGTACTGCCGATCTTTGGGAAGCTTGAGTTTGGGGATCTTTGATGGGTCAAAGTCAGGCGGGTAGTATTTCTGTGGGAAGTGAAAGTGTCAGGGGAGCCGTTTCGGGCACAGGAGCAGGCCAGGAGAAGAGGGAGGAGCTCTGAGGAGCTGTACGCAGGTCCCCAGGACCACCCTGTGGTCTGATGATTTGGTGGGAGGGCTCCTAGGACTCAGCATACACTCGTACTTATGGCTACCACTTACTACAGCAAAAGGACACAGGGACACATCAGCAAAGGGAAAAGGTGTGTGGGAAGGGGTCCGGGGAGACCAGGCACAAGCTTCCAGAGTCTTCTCCCCGTGGAATCACACCAGACGTGTTAATTACCCCAGTGAGGAAATAGGACCACACATGTGAGATAGTGTCTCCCAGAGAAGCACACAGGGAGCCCAGCGCTTTCACTGAGGGACGGTCACCCGGCCCCTCTGCCTCGCAGCTTCCAACATTCTAGACCCCGGAAGGACGGCCGGTGCTCAGCATAACCCATGTTGTTTGTACAAAGAGTGTAAGCAAGGGAACCATCCCGAGATTCCAGTTCCCGGATGCCAGCCAAGGTCCAACCCGCGAAGCCAGCCGGGACGGCAGGCTCGGGCCTGCTGTATGCACTGCTCCTGCACGGGAGTCTGAGCTGGGAGATATGCGCAAGGCAGGTGTGGATCATGGAAAACAGCTTCACTGGATAATCAGAAAATATTCTGAGCACCTACTAGGTGCCGGGCGCTGCTACACGGAACACTTTATAGCCCTTGCCTAACAGAATGCTTGCAGAGCCTCTACCAGGCAGAACGTGATGTGCCCACGTCACAGAGGAGGAAACTGAGTCCCGGCGGGGACACGGCTCTGGGGGAAGCTGCGTGGTCCGGTGGCCAGGGCCCTGGGTCCAAGCCCTGCTCTCCCTGGCTATCTCCCTGGGCCTCGCTGTCCTCATCTGAACGGAGGGAACCCGTCCGCCTCCACAATCTGATGAGCAGGGCGCTGGCGCAGTATGCACCAGGAAATGAAGAGGACAGAGGGCTCCCGGCTGGATCGTCAGGACAGAAGGCCTTTCGTGGACACAGAGTCCGGCACCTGCCCTGGACTGTGAAGACGCCGGGGGTGGATACCTAACTGCTAAAAAGATCAGAGCGCGAGGCCGCAGGGAGTGGCATCGGCCCGCCCGTGGAAACCTGGGCTCTTGGCCTTACATCCTGGGCTTACACACTCCCAGGCCGGGGAGCTCACTGCCCGGCACGGAGCACACACCCCTCCCGGGGGGGTGCGGACGCGGACTCGGAACTCAGGGGCCTCATCCTGCCTTTTGAGCCCCCCCCCCCACCGGTTTTCCACCAGAGTCGGGAGAAGCCGAGGCGGCTGGGAGGGTCCCCTGCCAGCGGAGCGGAAGAGCAGAGCAAAGCCGAAGCCCCCCCAGGGACGCGAACCCCCGGATCCCCGGGGGGGGGGCGGGGGCCTCACGGAGCCACGCGCCTGGAGGAGGAGCGAACGGCAATACTGCCAAGGCGGACCCGCCCCCAGGGGACGTGACTGGCTAACTCCCTTCGGCACAACCAATCAGGAGAAGAGATGGAGCAACCATGTTCAGCCCCGCCCCGAAGGCTACGGAAGTTGATTGGGAGGTTTCTGAAAGCCCCGCCCCGCGGAAGACCGTTGGAGAAAAGAAAAAGGTTCCAATAGGAGAGCATAGGAAACCCACCGAGGCCGGAGCTCCGAGGTGTCCCGCCCCGGCTAGAAAGCCCTAGTCACCAAATACTTACGTTTAAAACTTTTCGCTCCGACATCTTTGCCTCCTACTTCTCTCACAAGCACGAGAAGAATGCTTAGGCTCGGTGTTTGCCGAACTCCGCTGACCGTCCCTTGTATTTCCGCTAGCGTCACTTCCTCCATTCTGTTATTGGTTGGAGGATACGCAGGTCCCCTTTTCATTGGCTTTGGTCCCCGTCTGTCAAGGGCCGAATCCGTCTACCTTCCCTTCCGAGTTATACCCTCGCTAGTTGATGGCAAAGGTTCCGGAGGTCGGCTGATTTGAAGTTCCGGGGAGGTTCTGCGCCCCTTAGAGGTGAGCAGGAGCTCACGAAAATTCCGTCGTGACGCGCAGTGGCCGCTGCTCGCTACGTTCCCTGCTCTTCACTCCTTTCTGGAGCGAACACGGAGGTCGGCGTTGAGCGCTTACTCTGTGTGCTGGGCTGCGGGAAGCCACACGTGTTCCTGTGTCCCTAGCGCGCACCAGGGGACCGGGGACAGCTCCCACGGGCTCATGTCCACAGAGCAGCCTGGACGCCCTTCCCCAAGTTTACCTGGAGTCCCGGACAGAGACTCATAGACCAGCTCCCGCACCCACCTGCCCTTCACATATGCACGCATCCCCTCCCGCACCCACCTGCCCTGCACATGCATGCACCAGCTCCCGCACGCACCTGCCCTGCACATGCACACCAGCTCCCAAACCCACCTGGTGCAACAGAGCAGTGTTGGGACAGTGGAGAGAAGGGGCACCTGAGAGGGTGTGTGAGCTTCCTGTGGCTGCTGCATGGTTACCGCAGGCTCGCTGTCCTAAAACCACACACGTTTATCATCCTATGGTTTGGAGATCAGGAGTCTAAAGTTGGGGCACCCGGGTGGCTCAGTTGGTTAGGCATCGGACTCGATCTCAGCTCAGATCATGATCTCAGGGCGGTGATATCGAGCCCTGCGTCAGTGTGGAGCCTCTTGGAATTCTCCCTCTCCCTCTGTCCTTCCCCTCCTGTGTGTTCTATCTCTCTTTCTCTTTCTCTCTCTCTCTCAGGGTGGAGGGGAGAGAAGTCTAAAGTGGATGGGAGGGGGCTCCAGGGCAGAATCTGTTTCCTCGGCCTTCCCAGCTTCCGGAGTCCGCCTGCACGCCCCAGCTCGTGGCCTGGTATCCACTCTGGCCTCTGCTTCTGTCCGCCCATCACCTTCCCTACCTCCCTCTGACCCTTGTCATTAGGCCACCTGAACCATCCAGGATAACCCGCCGGGACATCCGTTCACTTAATACAGGATCCTTAATCTTTGAATTAAGGATCTTCATGATCCTTAATTTAATCACATCCGCAAAGTCCCTTTTGCCATGTAAAGGACTGTATTCACACATTCTGGGGATTACGGGGCGGCTATGTTTTGGGGGGCCATGACTGCTGGCCATACGTGAGGTGGTGAGGAAAGGCTTCTCGGAGAAGGTGACCTTTGACTTTAGACCCGAGTGAAATTCACAGAGAAGCCCATGGATTTTTCTCCCACCTTCAGTCCTGGTGGCTTTGCAACCCCCACCCCCCGCCCTCTCGCCAGAGAAATCTTCCCAAACTCATACCCTATTTGCATCTACCCATAGTGGGGCTCACCCCCAGGCAGCTTTTCAGGAGGTAGGTGAACTGAACTGCTGAGCTGAATGGATTTCACCCCTCACCCCGTCCCAGGCAGAGCCCTCTCCCCAGCCCCAGGCTCCTCCTCTGGTCCAGCCCTGACCCCAGGGATCCATGGGAGTGGGGATTCGCTGTGGGTGTCCCGCTTCACCCTCTCCTCTCTGGGTCTCATCTGGGTCTACTGAAAGGAGGAGGAGGGGCGCCTGCGCGGCTCAGTCTTCAAGCGTCTGCCTTCTGCTCAGGTCATGATCCCAAGGTCCTGGGATCGAGCCCCGCATCGGGCTCCCTGCTCAGCGGGGAGCCTGCTTCTCCCTCTGCAACCCCCCAGCTTGTTCTCACTCTCTCAAATAAATAAAATCTTTTTAAAAAATGAAAGGAGGAGGAATCCTGATTCCAGCAACAATCTTTTTTTAGTTAAACAATAGAACACATCAGAAGTTCACAGTTCCCAGAGCTCCGTACTGTGGCCTAAGGGAGAAGTGCATCCCCATTTCACAGATTGACAAACAGGCTCAGAAAGGCAAAGTCACGGGCGCCTGGGTGGCCCAGTCGTTGAGCGTCTGCCTTCGGCTCAGGTCATGGTCCCAGGGTCCTGGGATCGAGCCCCGCATCGGGCTCCCTGCTCGGCGGGAGGCCTGCTTCTCCCTCTCCCACTCCCCCCCGCTTGTGTTCCTGCTCTCACTATCTCTCTCTCTGTCAAATAAATAAATAAAATCTTTAAAAAAAAAAAAAAGAAAGAAAGGCAAAGTCACTTGTCCAATGTTGCGCAGCAACTCAGCAGCAGCGAACCCAAGCCAGATGGGTCCCATCCGTCCTTGAGTGGGTGGCAGTGGGGGGCGGATGTCAAGGACCCAGCCCCTCTTCTGGGCGGGGGGGGGCTGGGAAGCCCCACTATTTGCCCATGGGCTTGGAGGCAGCAGCAGGGGGACTCCAGTCACTTGCTTCCCCATAGTCGGTGAGGTCCTGAGCAGCCACCTGGATGCAGTACCTGGCTTGGGGCCTCACAGCCCTGAGGGTGAAGGATGTGGCTTCAATAGGCCCCACCTGAGAGCAGAAAAGAGGGGTGAGGTCAGTGGGGACAAGGAGGCCTGGGAGGGGCCGTGGGGCACGGAACCGCATGACGGAGCTTCGGTTCCCCTGTTCCGTCCTAACAAGTATGCCCCTGAGGCCCCCTCCACATTGTTGGTCCTTCCTGATCCTTGGCCCCCCGAGCCGCCCATTTCCGGACACTCTTGTGGACCACACAGACCCCCAACCCCAACACCCCACTCCTCCTCCAGGCCCCAGCCACAGCCTCTGTGATCAGCCTCAATGCCTCCCTCCCTCCTGGCCCCGCGGTATTACCCTTGTTTTTAAGTTTTCGGCATCCTCTCTTTCTGCTGTCAGCCACATCTTGCTGACCAGGGAGAGACTGCCCCTCCCGGGGTCAGCGGATTCTTAGAGATGGCCTACCAGCCAGGAGCATGGCTCTCGTATACACACCAGCCCATCAGACCCACAGCCCACTCCCTCCAGCTCCCACACAAGCCAGCCGTCCCCCTGCCCCACAGCCTCCCGGGGCCAGGTGCAGCCCAGAGGCGGCCAGAAGTCTTCACACTCACCAGCCCCCAGCTGAGCGGTTCACCCAGCCCTGCCTTGCCTTCCCACCAAAGCCCCCACAGAGGTTTTCTCCCCGGACTCCTGTTTTGGACTCCTGTTTCTGCCTCCCGTCCTGATGTTGCCCGTGTGGGCCTGCGTGGTGTGGCATGTCCCCTTCTCTGGGGAAATGTAATCAATTCTTCTTGCAATGGCACTGACCTCTCTGGGTCTGCTCTCAGGCACCTCTATAGACTAAAACCCAAGGGCACAAGGGAGACACCCACTTCGGCTCTGCCTTTCCCCGTCTCTCTCCCGCCACTCCCACTCTCCCTCCTAGATGCGGCTCTGTCCCCCTGCCGGGTCCCCCTCATCCTCAGAACAGAACGACAGACCAATATCTGCCCCCCCCTGCACCTTCCAACCAACTTCCTGGCCCCAGATCTGACTGTCCGCCTCCCCGCTGGGTCCTGGGTCATCCTGATGGCAGGTGGATGTGGCGGTTTACATTTTACTTTAGATTAATGATCGCGTAACTTTGCGAATATGCTCAAGGACTTTTTGCCTTGTGCAGTTTTTATGAATTTTATGGTACGTGAGTTCTGTCTCAATCTAAAAATTGCAAAAATAGGGGCGCCTGGGTGGCTCAGTCATTTAAGGGTCCGACCCTTGGTTTCAGCTCAGGTCATGATCTCAGGGTGGTGAGATGGAGCCCTACAAAGCCAAAGTCTGCTGGAGATTCTCCCTCTCCTTCTGCCCCTCCCCCAACTCTCTCTCTCTCTCTCTCTCTCTAATAAATAAACAAATCTTAAAAAAAAAATCACCTTCATTCTGACCACTAAAAAATTTCCAAAAAAATAGAGGCACTGGGCTGGCTCAGCTGGTAGAGTCTGCGACTCCCTTTTTTTCTTTTTCTTTTTAAAAATATTTATTTATTTTAGAGAGAGAGCTTGTAGGAGGGCAGGGGGGTGGAAGAGAGGCAGAGGGAGAGAGAATCTTAAGCAGACTCTGTGCTGAGCACAGAGCCTGATAGGGCGCTCGATATCATGGCCCTGAGATCACGACCTGAGCTGAAACCGAGAGTCAGATGCTTAACCGACGGTGCTGGGAGAGTGTGACTCTTGATCTTGGGGTTGTGAGTTCAAGCCCCATGTTGCACGCAGAGATTACTTAAAAACAAAATCTTAAAAAATAAAATAAAAATTTATTTATATGTATATAAATGAAAATAAATTGCAAAAATATTTAAAAGAAAACGAATGCACACTAAATAAAATGTCAAAGCCAGTTCCTTGACTACTTGCCACATCGCCGCTGCTCAGTAGCTACATGAGGTTCGTGGTACAATTTTAGTCAGTGCACATGTAGAACATTTCCGTGGTCCCAGAAAGTCCCATGCGACAGGGTCGCAGAAGCCTATATCCTGCAAGCATGCAGCTCCTGGGTCTGGCATCTGAGGCTAATACACAACTGACCACAGATGCTCGGCAATACCCTTGCCTTACTTATCTTTTACTTTGTAAAAATTTTAAACAACGTATTTTTCAATCAAGGTGAAATTCACATGACATAAAATTAACCAATTAAAGAGAACAATCTGGGGCCTTGAGTATATTCCCAGTGTTGTAAACCATCACCTCCTTCTAGTTCCAGAACAGCCCATCACCCCAAGAGGAAGCCATGTCCCCATCGGCCATCTCTCTCCGCTCCCTCTCCCCAGCCCCTGGCAGCCAGAACCGCCTTCCTGTCTGGGGATGTGCCTGTTCTGGATGTTTCCCATAAATGGAATCGTGATGAACACACCCGTGTGGCCTTCTGTGTCTGGTTCCCTCCCCGAGTGTGGCGGGCCCAGGGTCTGTCCCCGGGGCAGCGCGTGTCTGCGCCTCACCCCTGTTCCCGCTGGGTGACCTGCCCACCCGTGGGTGGATACATGTGTTTTTCTATTCATCTGTTGACAGACATTTGGGCGGTTTCCGCCTTCTGGCCGCTGTGAATGGCACGTGCTGTCTCCCCTCTCCTCCCTTCCTCCTCACCTGGCGGAAGCGGGCGGATCTGTGATGCTTGTATCGGATCCAGTACTTGAGTGAGAAGATCTCTGGGAAGGGCCAGGACCGGGGGGGTTCCCACTGCACCCACAGCCGCTGTCCAGGGAGGGGGCTCAGGCGGACGCCTTCGGGAGGGTCTGGTTTGACTGACGGACAAGCAGGAGGCGAGGTCAGGGGCTGCTGGTAGGCTCACTCCTTCATCCAATCAACCAACAAGTATTTATTGAGTGTCTAGTGAATGTCCAGCGGCATCCTGGACACTGGGGACACAGCAGTGACCAATATAGACCCAACCCTTGTGCTCTTGGAGCTCAGTCCATCCGGGCAAAAGACAAGAAACAAGAAGCAAATCCATGGGGCATCAAGAGTAGGGAAAAAAGATCGAGAGCTATTTAACTCTAAAACATTCCATTACCCCCAAAAAGATACCCCGTCCCCATCAGCAGTCACTCACCATCCCCAGCCCCTTGCAACCACTAATGCACTTCCCGTCTGTGGATCAGCCTGTTCTGGACGTGTCACCCACGTGGACTCACACCCTGTGTGTCCTTCTGTGTCTGGTTCCCTCCCTGAGCATCGAGGGCTCGGGGTCTGTCCCCGGGGCAGCATGTGTGGGTGCCTCGCTCCTGTTCATGACTGAGTAATGTTCCATAATATGAACGGAGCCTGTTTTGTGTATCCATTCATCTGTTGACAGACCCTTGTGTTGTTTCTGCTTTTTGTCTATTATGGATAACATTGCCGTGAACTTTACAAGTTTCTGAGTACATATAATTTCATTTCTCTGGGGTATACACCTAGAACTGGAATTGCTGGCTTATATGATAACGTATGTTTGACTCTTGAACTACGAGACTTTCTTAATAATCACCAGCAACAAAGAAGGGTTTGCAGTCTTTAATAATGTGCTCATGGGAGGGCTCACTGAGGAGATGACATCTGAGTAGATGTGAGGGAGGTGAGGGAGTGAACTCTGTGGAGATCTGGGGGAAGAGGTTTCCAGGCAGAGGGCACAGCCTGTGCAAATGTCCTGGGGCAAGGACCTGCTTGGTGGGCTGGAGGCACAGAGGAGGCGTGTGTGGCTGGAGAAGAGTGAGTGAGTGAGGAGGACAGAGGGAGGAGGGGAGGGCACGGAGGGGATGGGGCAGGTCGTGCAGAACTTTGGGGGCCTTGGGGAAGGCTTGGGCTTTTACTTCAGGCAGGTGGGAGCTCGGAAGGCCTGACAACAGGGGAGGGTGGGACCTGACTCGGGTGCTCACAGGCGCCCTCTGGTGGCCACCGTGGGGAGGGCAGATCGTGGGGCTGAGGGCAGGACTGGGGACCAGGGTGGAGGGGATTGAGCCGGTCCAAGCGAACATGGAGGCTGGGCCGGGTGGGGGCTCGGTGTGGGGAGAAGTGGGCGGCTTCTTGAAGAAATGCAAACGTGGAGCCGACAGGACCCCGGATGGATGACAGGAAGTGGGTGGTGAGAGCGGGGAGGGGCAAGCAAGCTGGCGGCCCTCCCTACCCCCCACGGCCCCGCGCTGCCACCCGCACTCACTGATATGCTCGGGAACAAAGGGCACGAAGCTGCTGCTGCTGCCCCAGGGCTGGACCGCTGTGACGTTGAGTATATAAGGCACCATGGAGAACAGCTGGACGTCTGGGATGGTGCAGCTGGTGGCCTCAGGGGTCAGCTGGAGGCAGGGTCTGCTCTCCCCATGGGCAGCCACACCGAGCCTGGACACGCAGGGGCAGCGTGAGGGCCTCAGCACTTCCCGCGGGATGGGGAAGCGGGGTTACTCAAGGACCACAGGCTGGGATCCTGCTGTTGGCCGTGGGACCCGGAGGTAGCCGTTCACCCCAACATCACGGAGCCTGTGTGGACCCAGGGCCAGGGGGAACACCCTACAGGGAGACGCTGGGGTCCAGATTCTACAAGTTTCTGGAATGTCAGCATTCCAGCCTTAGAATTCCAACATTCCGAGGTCTACAGACTCACAGATTCTGAAATAAGAAGATTCTGATTGTCCTGAGTTCTGAGACCCCAAGGTTTCAGACTCTAGGGACAAGCTCAGCGCTGCACATACAGCCTTCCAGAACATTCCACGTGCTCCGACCGCCCCGTCGGATGCAGTAGTCACTGGCCATGAGTGGCGTCCGCTGTTCGAAATGTGGCTGGTGCAAGCGAGGGCGGCTTTCCAATTTATTTTATCTGCCCTCAATGTCAATTTCCCGGTGGTCAGAAAACTTGACAAAGTTGTGCAGGACGACCCAGGTGGGTGACTCTACATTCCTACCTACAGATTTTATAAAGTCTAATCAGAGACTAAGAATTCCCTGTGAACATTTAGCACGTGAGTTGAAAGGTGCTCTGTGTGTAAAATGCACATGGAGTTTCAGGTTTAGTATAAAGAGAATGTAAAATACCTCATTAACTTTTAACATGTTGATTACATGTTGACATGATCCTGCTTTAATCCCACTAAATAATACTAATTTCTATTATGAATTTACATATATAAATTGCACATAAGCATGTTAAGTGATACTCGATCCTATTAAATAAATATTTGGAATACTGAGATGATACTGAAGCAAAATATTAAAAGTCACGTCATTTCTCTTTCCTTTTTAAATGTGGCTTCTAGAAGGGTTTGAACTCCACATGTGACTCGCAGGCTGTGTTTTAGGAAGTATATCTCTATTGGCCCATGCTGCTTTGGAATCCCGGGGGTTTCGGGTACTCACTAGGCCTCCAGCTGTCCTGGCCCCAGTGTGAAACCCCAGGACGCCCTCCTGGGCACTCTGACCTGTACGAGGCAATGAAGGACGTGGGCTTGGCGGAGTGTGCAGTGGGCAGCAGGGTCCAGGAGCAATCCACGGCAATTGGGTACCTAGAGGCCCGGCACCGCACCCTGGGCTGGGTGGGGGCTGCTGGGGCCCCGGAGGGAGAGGACGACGTGTGAGCTTCCAACCCGCCCCGGGATTGTCAGAGCCCTACATGTGCCCAGCCTCAGCCTCCCTGCCAGCCGGAGGCACCAGGCACACAGTAGGTGCCTAATAAAGGTTTGTGCAGCAAATGAATATGTAAATGAAAGGCAGCTACAGGGGCGCCTGGGTGGCTCAGTGGTTAAGCGGCTGCCTTCAGCTCAGCGGCTGCCTTCAGCTCAGGTCAGGATCCCAGGGTCCTGGGATGGAGCCCCGCATCGGGCTCCCTGCTCTGCAGGAAGCCTGCTTCTCCCTCTCCCACTCCCCCTGCTTGTGTTCCCTCTCTCTGTGTGTCTCTCTGTCAAAAAATAAATAAAATCTTTTTTTAAAGATTTTATTTATTTGAGACAGAATGAGAGAGAGAGAGAGAGAGAGAGAGCGCGCGCGCACATGAGAGGGGGGAGGGTCAGAGGGAGAAGCAGACTCCCTGCCGAGGAGGGAGCCCGATGCGGGACTCGATCCAGGGACTCCAGGATCATGACCTGAGCCGAAGGCAGTTGCTTAACCAACTGAGCCACCCAGGCGCCCAAAAAATAAATAAAATCTTAAAAAAAAAAAAAAAATGCAGCCGCATCATCTCTCGCCTCCACTACAACCTGCGAAGGCAGGGAGTATTAACCCATTTTCCAGATGGGGAAACTGAGGGTTAGGGAGCCACACAGGGGGACCTGAGTGGTGGGGAGCCCCAGTGGGAGGGAACTGTCTCAGTGTAGCCCCTCTTCCTAGCAGCTTTGTTTAGAAGTGCATGGAATGAATGCATGCAATTAAAATGTCTCCCTCCCTCCTTCCCCCTCCCCCTGTCCATGCTGTGGCTGCCACTTCCCGGTGTCGCTTTGCCGTGGGACTGGTCCTCTGTATCTCCATTTCCCCACCTGTGCAATGGGATGGTAACCCCCTCCCACCTGTGGGTTCTCTAGTAGGTGTGTGAGCTCCCACCCCACAGCCCAGAATATTCCATGGTAGACAGTTCAACTCCAGGCCCCGGGTAGTGTCCTTCTGCTCTTGCCCCCCAGGCCCCCCGGCGGGTCCCACATACCTTTTCTCCCGCTGCAGGGTGAGCAGCCCACCCAGAGGGCGAGCACCAGGAGAAGTCTTGAGGCCATGAGTCCACAGGCTCTGCCGTCAGGAGCTGGGGCCGGGAGCACCTTGGGGAGGCAGGGGCCTTGGGTCCCACCCGAGGGGGCCGCACAGCCCCCGGTCAAAGCCCCCCTTTTCCCTTCCCTGGGTCTGACTCCCTGGGCAGTTTGAGGAGCCAGCAGAGAGTTGTGCGGGGACGGTGGAGGAGCCCCGGTCCCTTCACCTGTCACAGCTGGGTTGGGCGCGAGGTTCTGGAGGCCCTGGGCAAGGGGACGGGAGAGGAGGTCTCAAAAGAGAGAAGTGGAGCCCCCGTGGCCTTTCCCACAACAGCCTGACTGCAAGTCCTTCCTTCCGCTGCAGGGAGGACGAGCACGGGGGGTGGGGGGGGAAGCCCCAGGAAGGGGAAGGGGACAGGGAGAACAGGAAGGCCAGTGCGGGCAAAGACACAGAGACACAGAGAGAAGGGGACAGGGACAGAGATGGGAGCCCGTGAGCCAGCGGCAGAAACAGAAGAGGAACCTGGAGACGGGGAGACACGGGGTGAAGAGAGACCCAGGCAGGACACAGAAATCACCCCTTTACTCACCGACCGACTGCAGGGGTGGGGATCCACCCTGGCCAGCCCTCCACGCTCCAGGCCACGGAGACACAGACACGCGGGGCCCCGGGAGGGCAGCCCCTCCTGCGGGACCTTCTCTGAGCCATAAGGACGCCAAGGGACGGGCTGAGCCCCTACAGACGCCGTGCCGGCCCCGGACACTCAAGGAAACCCCGGAGACAGGCCATATTCCCACCTCCCCCACCTCAGCTGGAAAGAGCCAAGAAGCCCCGGGGGATTTCAGGGGACTTGCCCAAGGGCAGGGAGGCTGGGGGTGGGAGTCTCCCAGCGGGGCTGGATTTAGGGTGAGGAAGGTGACTCAGGGCACACGCCGACTTGGATGCTGTCTTCACTTAACATTTGGACGGTTTGTTCATCGTGGACTTCTGACTTTTTACAACACCGCACGAACACAGTACTCATTCCGGGGTCTGAGTCATTGGTGCAGGAGGTGAGTGCCTCACCTGCCAGTCCCTGCTCTAGGCCACCCCTCTCCTCCCTGCCGCGGGGGCCCAGCGATCAGGCCATACACATTCATCCTCTGCTCTGAGAGCTTTTATTCCCAGGGTCCGGGGTGCTGCCCGGTTACAGGACCGACAGGACCAGACATGGGAGAGGGGGCTCACAGATTCTCCGGTTGGGGCGGGGGCACAGTCAGGGCTGGGGATGACACCGGCCAGTGCATGTGGGGACCAGTGGGGCAGTGGACGCAGCTAAGTACAGTAGAGAAGGCCCAGGCTGGTGTCCGAGCTTAGAAGGTCAGCGCGTGAGCCTGGACGCCCCCACGCGTGAGCCTGGCGGGCAGAGGGTCAGTGCTGTGGTGCTCAGCGGCCCTGAGCTTGGAGTCTTTGCATCTGTAGGATCTGGCTCAGGATCCGCTGCACATCTTCATCCATCTGACCCTGGGATGGGGGGAAGCAGAGAGAGAGAGAGAGAGAGAGCCTGGGCACTCCTGCTCTGGCTTCCCGGTTCCCTCCCACCCCACCCCTGGAGGCCATGAATCTCTCCTCCTGTACAGATGGGAGAATGGGCCGGAGTGTTGGTGGCCAGGCGGGACTCACCTGAATGGCATACAGGAGGTGGCTCCTATACAAGGCCACCACTGCACTGTGGTTCCTGGCAGCCTGCTGTGAGTATGGGGGAGGGGTGCTTAGAAAAGCAGGTCCCCCCCCCAACACGCCCCAAAGCCCCCTTTACACCCAGAGCCCCTGCCCCAGTGTGACAGCTGCTAAAATCCTGAACTGCTGGGGCACCTGGGTGGCTCAGTCAGTTAAGAGGCTGCCTTTGGCTCAGGTCATGATCCCAGAGTCCTGGGATCGAGCCCCACATCGGGCTCTGTGCTCAGCGGGAAGCCTGCTTCTCCCTCTCCCACTCCCCCTGCTTGTGTTCCCTCTCTCACTGTCTCTCTGTCAAATAAATAAATAAAATCTTAAAAAAAAAAAAAAATCCTGAACTGCTTTCCTCCCCCTGCCCCATGTCCTCACCTTCAGCTGCTCCTGCAAGGCCTTGACCTGGCCTTGGAGGGCCTCCACCTCAGGGGTGCCTGGGGCCGCTGGCTGGTCCTTCAGGGCCTCCTTAAGACTGAAGACTTCCTTGGAGAGCTCTGTGATCTAGGCGGGGGGTTAGGGGGTCACCTACAGTCACCCTGAGCCTGGAGCCCAGGACATTGGACCTCCCTAGCACCTAGAGAAGAGGCTGGTGAGGGAAGGTCACATCCTAGAGGCTAGCAAACTCTGGCCCGCGGGAGTCTGGCCTGCGAGCTAAGAATGGCTCTCACATTTGTAAATGGTTGGGGGGGAAATGTTGAAAGAAAAATGATATTTCATGACATAGGAAAATTAAATCAAATTCCGAGCTCGTACATAAAATTTCATTGATGCGCTGCCAGGCCCATTCACCGACACGTCAGAGCCGAAAACATGGACTCTGGCTCTTTCCAGAAGTTTGCCGATCCTGTCACAGCCCCTCTTGCGGACTCTGGAAAGGGGAGGCTGACAGAACGGGAGGCCCAGAGCAGCCTGGCCTGGTGGGGCTGGGTCAGGCAGCCCTGGGCTTGGGTCCCTCCCTATGTCTTTCTTGCAGGAGATCTTGGGAAGACGACTTAACCCCTCTGAGCCTCAGTTTCCTTATCTGTAAAGGAAGGAGAATCACGGTTCTCACCTTGGCAGGTTACTGTGATTCTGAACGGAGGTTAAATCTACACTGTGCCTGGCAAACAGCAGGCACTCAATAAATGCTAAGCTTTATTATTATACTACAGATCAGAGGTTCTCAATCTCTGCCCCCAGGGAACCCCAGGCCATGTGTGGGGATGTCTGTGGTTGGCACATTGGGGGTGCTCCTGGCATGGAGGGGGTGGGGCCAGGGATGCTGCTCAGCCCCCCACAGTGCCTGGGACACCCCCCCCCCACAGAGAATGACCTGACCCCAGTGTCACTAGGTGCCAAGGGGGAGAGATCCTGCAACAAATAAACCGTAATCTCAACCACAACTTTATGTTCATTTTGCAGAAGGTGGTAACAGGCTCAGAAAGGTCAACTGACTTGTTCAAGGTCACACAGTGAGCTAGAGCTGGGGGACTCTATGCTGATGCACCTGGGGCTCTGGGAGTCACGTGCCTGTCCAATGAGCGAGCGCCCTGACGAGTCACCCGGACATGTCACCCTGGCCTCCCAGAGCCTCAGCTTTGCTCATCTAGAAAACAGAAATAAGAATGCCTTCTGGCTTTTGGGGTTAGAGGGAAATTAAAAGTGATAGTGTGTGAAAACCACCCAACTCGGTAGCTATGGCCTGCTGTCAACCATCATCGTTACTGAAGACCAGAACTTGGGAAGCTGGGCCCAAACGCTGGCTGAACCTCTGCGTGGCTGTGCGACCTCAGGCAAGTGGCATCCCCTCCCTGTGCCTTGCTTCTTCAAATGGGGACAGTAGGAGCACCGATCTTACAGGAACTTGATGTGAGGATTACATGTGTTAGTCCATGTCAAATACATAGCTCGGGGCCTGGCATGCAGTAAGTGCTCAATAAATGTTAACTGTGGTTATAATTCACAGTTAGAACAGTAGCCCCCGTGTCTGAGTTGTCCCCTTCCTCCTCTGTACCTCGGTCTCCCATCTAGAAAATGGGCTGATCTCCCAAGACTCGTTCATCTGGGACATTCTTGGATTTCCCCCAACCTCTGTTGGGTGGGAACCCCCAGGGGAGCACAGGGAAAGGGGACGCACCTTCCTGTCCTTCTCCTTGGCCATGTCCAGGGCCTCCTGGGCGCGGCTCTGGGCCTGGCGTGCCCGCTCGGCCTCGGTCCGTAGCCCCCACAGCTGCTGTTCTGCTGTGGCCAGTTTGGCCTCGGCCGCGTGCCGCTCACTCTTCATGAACAACGCCTCCCTCTGGACCTGCAGCCCAAGCCCATGCGTGACCCCGGGGACATGAGGACCCCAGAGTCTCCTGACCCTTCCATTCGGGCCCAAGGACATTCAAGCCCATTCTGATATCGAGGAGTTTGACTCAGGGAGTGCTGGGTTCTTCCCGGACACCACAAACATTCTGACCCATCCTTACACTCGTGACCTGTTAGCTGTGTGACCTCAGACAACTGACTCAACCTCTCTGTGTCTGTTTCCTCATATGGAAGATCAGGGTAACAGCAGCCCCCACTTCGCAGAGTAATTGTGAGGAGGAAATGGACAAATACAGGGCATGTGCTTAGAACAGAATCATTATTCTTCCAAGAAAATGCTCTTTTAAAATCAGTTAATTCTGGCTGCCACTTACTGATCTCTTATACTATGACTGCCCTAAATCATTTACAGAGATTAAAACATTCAATTTTCACCTGAGGATTCAGAAGTATTATTATCTCTGTCCCAGGGGTGAGTAAACAGAGGCACGGAGAGAAAAATGCTTTCCCAACAACAACTGATGAATGTGGCTTCTTATTCACATATTTTGTTATAACACCCGCCAGTTTTTGTGGAGATTTTTGTTTGTTTTTTAAGAGCAGAGACGGAATCAAATGTCCACCATGAGGGACAAAATTATACATATATTCCCTGGCCTTAAACCAACAACTCAGCATCAAAATCTACTGGGTTCAAAATATTAGATTAAAAATCTCTGGGCATAAATAACGTCCTTCTACTTTGGGGCTGAAACATCAAAAATGATCCAAAGACAAAATGACAAGCTCTAAACAGCCAACTAGAAGAACCACAGGGAGATTTCAGGCCAGCAGAGAAAATGGATGTCATAGTAAAAAAACATCAGGTTCCCTGCTCAGTGGGGAGCCTGCTTCTCCCTCTGTCCCTCCCCGTGCTTGTGCTCTCTCTCCCTCTCTCTCTCTCTCAAATAAAGTCTTTTTTTTTTTAAGATTTTATTTATTTATATGACAGAGAGAGAGCACAAGCAGAGAGAGAGGAAGAAGCAGGCTCTCCGCTGAGCAGGGAGCCCGATGCAGAACTCGATCCCAGGACCCTGGGATCATGACCTGAGCGGAAGGCAGATGCTTAACCAACTGAGCCACCCAGGCGCCCCTCAAATAAATAAAGTCTTAAAAAAAAAAAAAAAAAAAGGAAAAGAAAAAGTAAGTTGATGGGGTCAAAATAGCCAAAGGTTTTTAAGAAAAGATAACACAAGTTGAGATGTCCAAGAGCTCAGAACGGTTTCGGGGTCAGCCACCCACCCAGAAATGCAAACAGGGTCAGGTGTCTACAGGACGGGTCAGGCCGCCAAGCTGCTGCTGGCTGGGCTGGGACTGGGCTGCGCTGGGCGGGGGCCTGGCCTGGCCACGCTCACCTGGAAGACCTCGGCGCTGGTCTTCTCATGCCGTCGCCCCAGCTCCTCCAGCTGCCCCTCCAGCCGGGCCACGTCAGCCTGCAAGGCGCCCACGATGCGCTCGTGCTCCAGGCTGGCCACGCCCCCCACACGCTCCCGCTCCAGCTCGGCCCGCAGCCGGGCGGCCTCCTTGCCCGTGGCCACCACCTCCCGCTCCAGGCTGGCCGCCCGGCCCCGCAACTCAAGGGCCTCCTCCTGCAGCCGGCGGTGCTCGGAGGCCGGCACCGCCGACTGACGCAGGGCCTCGGAAGCCTCGCGCAGCTCGGCCAGGCCCTGCCGAGCCTCCTCGCAGGCGGCGGCCAGCTCAGCCGCTCGGGCCTCAGCTGCATCCCGTGCTCGGCCCAGCTCAGCGGCCACAGCCTGCTGCCGCTCCCCGGCGGCGGTGGCCGTGGCCAGCTGCTCCCGCAGCACCTGCAGCTCCCGGCTCTGCTCCAGCCGCACCTCCTCCCGCCGCTCCAGCTCTGCCCGCAGGCCCCGGGCCTCCTCCTCGGCCAGCAGCCGGCCAGCCCGGGCCTCGTCCAGCCAGGCTGAGGCCGCCTCCAGCTGCCGGAGGCGGGCGTCCCGCACTCCGAGGTCCTCCCGGGCCTGCTCCAGGGCGGCCCGCAGCTGGACCACGTCACTGCCCCCAGCAGCTTCGCCGCCCTCAGCCTGGCGCACCCGCTCCCGGAGCAGGCCGGCCTCCGCCTCTACGGCCTGGCACTTGCCGTGGGCCGCCTCCAGCTCGGCGGCCGCCTCCCGCTCCCGCTGCCAGAGTGCCTCCTCCAAGCCGCGAATCCGGGTCTCCAGCTCTGCCTGCAGCTGTTCGGAAGCCTCTGCAGCACCAGGGTGGAGGACCGGGCCCGGGGAGGCCTTCGGGACTGCGGCCCCCACCGCTGTGGCCTCCACATGCGTGGTCTCTGCGCCTGCAGGCTCGGCCTCCACGCCGCCTGCTCTGCTGGCCCTCATTTCCCGTTCCTCTGCTTTCGGCTTTGTGGCCTCGGCTCCCCTGGCCTTTGCTTCTGGATTTCCTCCCTCTTCCAGAGCCTCCGGTTCTGTGGCCTCGCCCCCCGTGGCCTTTGCCTCTGGATTTCCTCCCTCTTCCAGAGCCTCGGGTTCTGTGGCCTTGGCCCGCATGGGTTTTGTTTCTGTGGCTTCGGTGTCCATGGGTTTTGTTTCTGTGGCCTCGGCCCCCGTGGATTTTGCCTCTGTGGCCTCAGCCCCCACAGAAGCTGCTTCCACAGATTCCACGCCTGTCGCCCCTTCGTCTGTGGTCTCAGCTCCGTTCACTTTGGATCCCAGAGCCGTGGCGCCGTCCAGCTCCATTTCCATTGGCCCATTCCTGGTGGTCTTGCCTCCCGTGGCCCTGCCCTCCCCAGGGGCGCCCCATGTTTCCTGCCGCTCCAGTGCCCGCAGAGCCTCGGCATGCTGCCTGCGGAGCTGGTCGAACTCAGCCCGAAGACAGTCGTAGAGGGCCAGAGGGACGACCTCGGCCGAGCCGTTCACCTCCATCTCGTCGTTCTCGAAGCTCTCCAGGATCTGGGAGGTAGTGGGGAGCTGGCAGGAGCTTGTGGCCATGGGGGCTCAGAGTGGCACTGCCACCTTCCCTGCCCACAGACTCAGCGTGTACCCACCCCGACCCCCGCCGGGGAACAACCCCTCAGGTCCTCAGATCTGTCCCCATCCCACCCTCCAGGGCCTCAGTTTCCCCACCTGGACCTTCTCCATCAGCTCCTGGTTTTGTCTGGTGAGTGCAGCCACCTGCTCCTGCAGTGAGGCCAAGAGCTCCTGGGCTGAGGGGCTTAGCCGTTTGGAGAGCAGAGCCTCGGCCCCTGGTGGGCGCACAGAGTCAGCCCCGCGTGTCCTGGGCCACAGGGGATGGGAACTAGGGGTCTGGAGCAGGGGGTCAGAGCCCCCAAGGCAAGCAGGTGGAATGGATAATGGGTGGGGGCCGACCTCCCTCCCAGCTTCAAACTCTCTCCATGCCTGTGGGTCGAGGCTCCATTTCCAGGGGCCCCAGGGTCAAGGTGGACAGGGGTGCATGGAGGGAGGACGGGGGTGGGGGCTCACCTGGAAAGTCAGACAGTTCGCCCTCCTCATCCTGCAGAGTGGCCACATCATAGCTGGTGTTCTCCCGCTCATTCTGGGGGGGCGGACAGGGTCCGGCACCAGTAGTACCCCCTTCCCAGCCCCAAACCCGCCCCCAAGAATCTAGAGAGGACAGGGGAATTCACGTGTCCTCATCGCTCCCCAGGAGCATCGGACCGGCCGTGTCTGGGCCACAGCGTTTGCTGAGTGCCAGCTGTGTGCCATGGGGCTACGCTGGGCTCCCCGGGAAGGGCAGGGAACAGCCCAGCCACCGCGCATGTGAGTATGGACAGCTCAGGGTTCATGGGTCTGTGGTGAGCACGGGGGTGTCGCGTGGCCCCCCGCCCCCCCGTGTGAGTTCCTGTGACTGTGTGTGATTTTGTGCTTGTGTTTTAGTCTGTTGTGTGTGTGATTGCTTTGTGCTTGTGGATATGGGTGGGTCTGTGTGCATGAGGACAGGTGCACGCGGATGTTTGTGTAATCACGTATTGGGGGAAATATTTGTGCGTGTACCTGGGTTTGTGGGTGTGTCGTCTGTGTGGGATGGAGGAGCGTGTGTTGTGTAGGCGCCAGTATTTCTGGTGTGCATGTGGGAGTAAGCGTTCATCACGGATGCTTGCTGCAGTCACCGGTTTAATGTGCAAGACCACGTGTGTGAGCGCGGCTGTTCATCTCTGCGTGTCCCGGCTCCGTGTCTGGAGAAGTGTCCACTCTGCGCACGTACATGTGTGGGTGTGTTGTCTGTTGTCTGTGATGGTGCGTTTGTAGGTTTGACTGCGTATGTCCCCGTGAGAGTCTGTACCTATACTGGTGTGGCTGCCCCATAACCACAGCGCGAGAGGCCCCGCCCCCGCCCACCTCTAGCAGGGACAGCCGGCTCTGCAGACTCTCCACCTCCCGTCCCAGGCTCTCCTTCTCCTCCTGCTTCTCAGCCAGCAGCTGCTGCAGCTCTTGCACCTGGAAGGGGGGCGGCAGCAGGGGGGCTTGGCCAGCCTTGGGGAGGAAACACGGGTGGCTGAGGGGCTGGCTCTCTCCGCACCTGCCACTTACCTGTCTCTCCAGGCTGTGGAGGGAGCTGGCCTCTGCCTCTGGCAGCTGGTGGGAAGAAGGGGGGGGACAGGGCTTGAATCTGGGTTGGGGGTCGTTCCCACCCCACCTCCGTGGTAGCCCCCCATCCCCACCACAGCCAGTGGTTGTGCGCCTACTGCGCACCCAGCACCTTCCTCTGCCCCCTGACTCATCACTAAGGATTTATTGAGTGTCAGACCCTGTTTTGGGACCACTCATTCACTCGCTCACTCTAATACCCGTTCTTCCAATAAACATCAAGTGAATCCTGTGAGCCAGTCATGGTCAACCATGCCTATCCTCGTGGGCTTAGAGTCAAATGGGTGAACGTGAATAAAATACATGGCATGCCCAATAGCATGAATAAAAATAAAGGGAACTAGGAAGTGAGTGGGAGCTGTGACAATTTTAAATAAGGTAGGCAAGGGAGGTGTCTTTGGCAAGTGGTTTCTGAGCAAAGACCTAAAGGAAAAGAGGGAGGGAGCCACAGAAGCATCTGGGGAAGAGTGTTCCAAGCAGAGGGCACAGCACATGCAAAGGCCCTGGGGCAGGACCAGGCCTGGAACACTGGGGGAACAGCAAAGAGGCCCGTGTGGCTGGAGCGGAGTAAGTGTGGGTAAAGAGACGGAGGCGGGAGCTAGGAGAGGTAAGAACTGCAGAACTGCACCCCACCCCAGGCTTAGCCCTAGGCCCGTATCTCTGTGGCCCCTCACCTCCTGCTTCCTCTGTTCCTGGTGCTGCTCCAGGCCCCGGATCTTCTGCAGCAGGCGGCCCCTCTCCTGTCGCAGCCGCACGATCTCCTCGTAGGCATCTTGATCATCCTGTTTCCTCCGCCCCAGGGACCCACCACCTTCACATGAGGCCCACGGGCTGTCCCCTCCCATACCTGAGCCAGAGCTTCCTCCCCTCCTGCCTGCCCCTGTTCCTCCCCGCCATGGCCTGGCCGGGGCATCTCTCACCGGCACGGGGATGCTGGCAGGGGGCTGAGGTGCTTTCCGCTTCTTGGGAGCCCCTCGCTTTTCATGGCTGGACACAGAGTTCTGAGGGAAGGGGTGACAGGGGCACATGGGGGATATGGCAGCCTCCCACCCAAATATGCCAGCCCAGGCCCACTGTCATCAGCCCCAAATTGGCCCTCACTTCCTGTGTGACCCTGAGCAAGTCCCTGGCTCTCCCTGGTCCTCACTGATCCCAGCACAGAAGAGGCCACACTTCCTGAGAGTTCCAGGTCTTATGCTTCACTCTCTGTCCCTCTTTGTGCCTTGGTACGTGGTACTAGACCAGATTGTCGACAAGTTCCCCTTCCCTGTGGAGCTGAGATGCTGTAGGGCCGGGAGAGAGAAAGGGGCCAGACCTGCCTTCTTCCCTGACCTACACCAGCCCTCACCAAACTCAGTTCCCTCCACCGCCCCACCCCGGCCCCATGATTTGGCCCCATCCCCGCAGTGTTCTCACCCAGTTCTGAGACTTATGCTGTGGGTGTTGCTGTCGCTTTGGTGGCAGCATACCCTGAAGGTGGCATTCATCCCAAACAGGTCTTCCTAGGTCATAACCCTGGGACAGAAGTCCGTCTCCTCCTTTTCCCATAAAGCTTGGGGCAAGGGTGGGTGGGGGAGGCGGTGCGTGCAGGGGGAGGGGACTCATTCACTGCTTAGAGATCCGTACCTGAGATGATGCCTCGCCTGAGTCATCCTCTAGGAGGGCAGGGAAGAGAGGGAAGCAGGGTCAGGCACTCTGTTTTAGGGGCTCCATTCCCAGCCCTAAGAGGACACTAGCGAGGGGACTTATGGCTGGGGGGGGCTCCCAATTCCCCGAGAATCAGGATTTTGAAAGTAGGACTCAGCTACTTTTGCAGATGCTAATAGAAGGGCCCTTGGAACTCTCAGAAGGGGAGGACCGTGGCACCTCCAGGACGGTGCAAGTAGGGGTGCCAATTCTTAGGAAAGGCAAAGACCCAAGGATAAGGATGGCTCAGGAAAGCAGAGTGGATCCCTAGATTAATCTGAAAGCTCTGGGGCTCCTTGAAACTGTTCTGAGTAGCATCAGGGGACACACGAAACCTCCCGTAATGCAGCCAATAGAGATACCTTGAAACTATCTACAGTAGGGAAAGGGGTGACAAGAAACTGCTTGGAAGGAGATGGGGGGGCCTGAAATTGCATAGGCGAGGCTTGCATACCACTGGGTGGTGAAGGGCGCTGGGCTGCCTCCTGCAAGAGGTGCAGGATGAGTTTGTCTCCTGCTAGGGCTCCGTAGTGAGCAGCATCCTGGCCCAGTGCGTCGGTGATGCCTGGTTGGGCCCCACCCTGCAGCAGCACCTCCACTGTTTCGGGGCTGGCCCCCTCACAGGCCAGCATCAGGGCTGTCCTACCAGGAGAGGGGGCTACTGAGGAAGCGAGGGCATTCTCACACCTCCAAGCCCTCCTCCACACCCAGGCTGGGTGGGTGGGGGGGAGGGTCAGCTAGATTCCCCCACCCACAGACGTTAAGAGACTTGCCCAAGGTCACACGGCATACAACGGACTAACTGGGAGGGGAGCTACTCACCTGCCCTGGAGGTCCTGGTCATTTGCAGCTGCCCCCTGCTGCAGGAGAAGGCGGCACAAATCTGTGTGACACATCTGAGCCGCTATGAGAAGGGGCGTTGTACCTGACTGGTGGGAATTAGGGGAAAGATAAGACAAAAGGTGAGCGGCTGATCTTGGGAGGTAGGGAAGCCTATATGAGTGCCCCTGAACTTCACTCCAGACCTTTTCACACTTTTTAAAGGGTGCCTGGGATGCTGCCACTTGGTGACGGTGTACCTCAAATACAGCATCTTCCCAAAAAGATCCCAGAGGCTCACCCGATCTCGGGGATTCAGACGTGCCTTGAAGGAGCAAAGCATTTCTGAGCAGGAGAGGCAGCCACCGGCCGCTGGAAAAAGAGGGAGGGTATGTAGGCAAGGTTTAGATATTTTCTGGGGGCTTTCTGCCGAACGTGATTCTTACTCCTTATTTCATGAGAAGTTCCCACCTTCCCTGGGAGGACAATGGCGAAGGTATGACTCCTATGTTACAGATGGGGAAACTGAGGTCCAGCCAGGTCCATGGTCAGCCAGTAGGGTCAGAGACCGAGCTATGATTAGGTCTGCTAACCTGCTGTCCCAAGCTCTTTCCACATTCCATCATGGTTCCCTCTTTTTTTTTTTTAAAAAGATTTTATTTATTTTATTTAAGAGAGAGAATGACATAGAGAGCATGAGAGGGGGGAGGGTCAGAGGGAGACGCAGACTCCCCGCTGAGCAGGGAGCCCGATGTGGGACTCGATCCCGGGACTCCAGGATCATGACCTGAGCCGAAGGCAGTCGCTTAACCAACTGAGCCACTCAGGCGCCCTCATGGTTCCCTCTTAAGGTGGACCTTTTGACTAATGTTTATGTATTTCCTCTCTTTGATTTAACTGGCATTCTGTACCTGCCATGCACCAAACCTCATACAGAGAGTGTTAATGTTTGCTGGAGGGATCAGACGGTCAGCGGAGACTGGGTGGGCTTCTCGGGGTTGGGTCTGAGTTCTGAGTTTTGAAGGTGAAAGGGGGAGGGTAGAGTTTTCTTAGTAGGCAAGGGCTGTGAAGTGGGGGAAGAGCATGGTAAGGTCAAGGAAGTGGGAGACAGTGTGCATGTCCAGAGCCGTAAAGAAAGGAGGAAGGGTTTCATGCTAGGGGGTCACTGGAAAAGTCAACAAGCTCTATCTGATGACCTGCTGTGTGCCTGAGGGGGTATGGCATTTTGTTTTCTGCTGTAGTCCCCACGCTTAGAACAGAGCCTGACTGACACACAGAGCAGGAACTTAAATATTTACTGCATGAAAAAACCTAGTGCGCTTCCAGTGCGACCAAAGGCATCACTACCACTAGGTGGCAGCATACTCCAACTGCAGGGAAGTTCTAACCAGTGATTAAAACCCCAAAGCAAACACAAATGTGTTCCGTGTTCCCAAAAGGTCAGACGTTTCTTGAGTCATTAGTGAAAGTCATTCCCCAATCTCACAGGCATGGTGGACAGATGCTGGGCTGACATCTGGTTCTGGCAGGTGGGTCCTTTCCCCTCCCTCATGAAGGAGTTTGGATTTAATGATTTCTAAGGATGCCTGGACCTTTGGTCTTCCTGAGATCCCCTAGGATTTGGTCAAAGGAGATTGTACTCTGGTCACACACACCCCCCAAGACTGCCATCATGCAGTCACCCATGACACACCCAGTGTCACCCAGGCCTGGCAAACATCAGGCTGTGCTTTGGAGTGAGACAGCCTGGGTCTTCCCTACTTTCTTGTGGGCGAGCCTCAATCACCCTTCCTGTCCCGTGGGGTGACTGTCTGTGGCTCAAAGGGTTGCTGAATATTAATGCTGAGCCCCAGGGCCTGGCACACAGCAGGTACTCGGTGAGGAAGGAGAAGGAAGGAAGCGGAAGGTTCATGGTAGGTCCCCAGGGCCCCGGGTAGAAGAATCCCCAGCCTAGCACCCGCTGGGTCATGGTGGGCGGGGCGAGGCTGGGCTGCACCCACCTGCATGATGCAGGGCCGTCCACCCACTGCTGTCCACAATATCCACCACGCAGGACGCCTGTGGGGGAGGGGTGCGGGTCACTGGAGGTTCTCTAGGAACTGCCCCTTCTTAGGCTGTGCCAGAGTTCAGACTCCTAGCCTTAGCTCTTCTCTCCCCCTTCTCCTCACAGGCCCCCAAGTGACTTGGCTTTTATGAAAACTGGTGAGAAAGTGGAAATTGCTGGGAGCTTGGGAGAAGCTGAGGGTTTGGGGGCTGGGTGGGGGCTCTGAGAGTGATGGTGGCTAAGAACTACCTAGGGTTTGGGGAGAAGCTGGGGCTCAGGAGATAGTCTGGTACTGGAAGTATCGGGACACTCAGGGAGTAGCTGGTTGGCCAGGGAGTAGCTGGGGCTCAGCAGTAAAAGAGGTTAAGACATATCTAGGATTCGGGGAGTATCTAGGGGCTTGGGGATTTCTAGAACTTGGGAGGGAGGTAGGGGCCAGAGGAAGGTAGCATCTAGGGTTGAGGGAGGAGCTGATACAAGAAAGTAAATGACCTGTAGCAGTTGCTTCAAGCACTGTGGGTGCCCATACTTGGCGGCCAGGTGGAGGGCATTGTAACCTGAAAGGCAGGGAGTGTCTGCTTGGGCTCCACACACTCAAGGAGCTTCTGGCCATTCTCCAAACCTGTGTCAACTATTTGTAATGAGCTTCCCCGCGTCCAGTAAGTTCCCGACCCCCAGGTACTTCTCCAAACCATGCTACTCCGTGGCCAGAGACTCTCCAAGCTCCAGCTAGTCTGCATCCCAGCCTACACTCCACTCCCGTGCATTCCTCAAGCCCTCCTGCCCCGGCGACTCCCCACGTCCCCAGCTACTCTATATGCTCAATGCCACTGCCCCTGAGAATCCAGCTGCCCTATATGTTCCCGCCAGTCTGTAAACCCTTGCTATTCCACAGGCTCTTTCCCTGTCATCTTTGATACTCCAGAGACCCTCAGAGGCTCCACACATCCCGGCTATGTCTCCTATGTTGCCCCAAAGCTTCAGACATGGCTATGCCCCACGCCTAGTTACCTCCTGAGCTCCAGCTATCCTCTCTGGCGGTGCAGTCTATCTCAGGGCCCTAGTCAAGCCATACACCCAGATTCTCCTTTTGTCCCAGCTACTCCCAGAGCTCCAGCTATTCAACATACCTGAGATACTACCCCCTAACCTCTACTTGCTAGTCTCCTGTCTCCAGATACTTCTCAAGCTCAGGTACTCCTCTGTTCCAGCTACTTCCTCGGACTTAACCACTACCTGAGTCCTGGCCACTCCCCGACCACAAGCTGTCGACTGACCCTGATTGGTGCCAGCTAGAGTCTTTTTCCTTGGGCACTGCAGCCCGACACGTCCCTGTGCCTTCCTGGGAGCACTGAAAGGAACTCTCCCCCTTTTTCACCAGGTCACTGAAGCCAGGGGAGCAGGGCCCCACTGGACCCTCAGGCTGGGCACCTGGTCTGAGTTCCTCATCCCTCCCCCAGGGCCCGGCAGGCGGTACCTGCCCCATCTGTGCTCATGACGTTGGCACCGTGAGCCAGCATCACCTCTAGGCAGCTGGTTGCACCCCTCATGGCAGCCAGGTGGAATCTGGAGGTCAGAGATCGGGGATCAGCTGCAGGATGGCTGTGCCTCGTCCCTCACACCCCCCAGGGCATGGGCACTCACGCGGACTTGCCCTCGGGGTCCAGCTTCGTGGGCACCAGCCCCTTCCGGGTGATGAGGGCGGCCACCCGCGCTACGTCATTGCTCTCCACAGCCTGCAGCAGACGCTCATCACTTTTGCCCCACTCCTGGCTCTGCGGGGCACACCCAGAGGGTCGTGGGGCCAAGCGATCACTGCCCCCTCCCCGCTCCCCCTGGCCGGAGCTCCCAGGCTTCACCACCTGCCCCTGGGCACTTGCCTGGCGCCTGCCTCTGGCTGCCGGCTTCGGGATGGGGCAGGGGCCGCAGGGCGGGCAGGAGCCAAGGTCAGTGGGGCTGAGCCGCAGCTGCAGGGGGAGGTAGTCCTGGGGAAGGGGTCTGAGACAGCATCCCCCCAGTCTGCATCCCCCAGCATCTGCCCCCAGGTCCATCCTACACCCACTACCGGCATCATCCTTTTAAATTTCCCCCAGATCAGCACCCAGCCGGTCTTTTAGTGAAAACCCCCTTTCCAACATCACCCCCACCTCCAAAATCTTCCCAGAAGAGCCCCTAAAAGGGTCCCTTTAAATGTCCTTCAGAACTGTCCTCTGTCATTCATCCTTCTTAAACTGACCCCAAAATGCCACAATTGTCCCCCAAATGTTCCAAGATCTGTTCCCCAAAAACTTACTTAGCATGTAATGCATTCCAAAATGTCATCCTCAAATTCCTTAAGTTTCTCCAAAATCATCCCCCTAAATGACCCCAACATCTGTCCTAAAAATGTCCTTCCAAAAAATTCCCTTGAATGTTTTCTGAAATTGTTCTCCAAATGTCAATATATTTTCCCCAAAATGATCCCTCAAAATATAGTCCAAATTGTCCCCTCAAACGAACCCACCCAAAACTGTTCCCCAAAACTGTCCCTCCATATGTCCTCTAAATTTTCCAGTGTTCCCATCTGTTCTCAAAACTGCCTCCCAGAACGTCCCCATGTCTCCCCAAATGTCCCACCCACCCCCAACCTCTGCCCCCTTCCCCCGCAACCCCCTCACTCCGGGTCCTCCCCGGGTCTGGGGCGGGGGTCCAGGCCGGGAGCGGCCAGGGGCGGGGAGGGGCGGAGTGGGGAGGGGAGAGTAAGGGCCCGAGCCCCGCCCGCTCCCGCGCCCCCTCCCCTGGCCCTACCGCGGAGGAGGCGGCGGCGCACACGCACAGCTGCTTCATGGCGGCCAGGGCGCCGGGTGCCGGGCTAGGTGCTCCGGGAGGCGACCGGGCCGGAAGGGGGTTTGGGAGGGGCTGGGGGGGCCCGAGGGAGGGACTGGGGGTGTTGGAGGGAGGGGCTGGGGAGTCCGGAGGGAGGGGCTGGAGGGGACCCGGAGGGAGGGGCTGGGGCCTGGGCGGGGGTCCGGAGGGAGGGGCTGGAGGACCCGGAGGGTGGGGCTGGAGGGGGCCCGGAGGGAGGGGCAGGGGGGACACGGAAGGTGGGGCTGGAGGGGGCCCGGAGGGAAGGGCTTGGGGGAGCCCGGAGGGTGGGACAGGGGGCTGGAGGGGGCGGGGAGGAGGGGCTGGAGGGCGCTGGAGGGAAGGTCCGGAGGGAGGGGCAGGGGGCACCCGGAGGGAGGGGCTGGGGGAGCCCCGAGGGGGTGGCAGGGGGCTGGAGGGGGTCCGGAGGGAGGGGCTGGGGGACCCAGAGGGAGGGGCTGGAGGGGGCCGGGAGGAGGGGCTGGAGGGCGCTGGAGGGAGGGTCCGGAGGGAGGGGCTGGGAGGGTTCCGGAGAGAGGGACTGCGGGGTTGGAGGGAGGAGCTGGGGGAGCCTGGAGGGAGGGGCTGGAGAGGGTCTAGAGGGAGGGGCCAAGAGGACCCGGAGGGAGGGGCGGGGGGCTGAAGGGGGGCCCGACGGGAGGGGCTGGAGGGCGCTGGAGGGAGGGTCCGGAGGGAGGGGCCGGGGGGCCGAGGGAGGGCCCGGAAGGAGGGGCTACGGGGGGCCGGAGGGAGGGGATGCAGGGCGCTGGAGGGAGGGGCTGGGGGGTCCGGAGGGAGGAACTTGGGGGGGGGGACTCGACGGAGGGGTGGGGGTCCGGCGGAGCTCTGCCGCACGGCCCGCGCGCCCCGCCCCCTCCTGGGGGTCCCGCCCCCACGGTGGGGGTCGTGTCGGGGAGGGGCTAGGCTCTGAGACCAGGTGCCGCCTGGGCACTCCCCGACCTTCCTGCCTGGAGGAGGATGCGGCCAAGGAGGCCGGCTCCCTTGCCCCCGCGGGCTGCCCGCTGGATCTCCAGGGACCCGCCCGCAGCGTCTCCGCCTCGTCCGAGCTGGCCGCGGGTCGCAGGTGACTCCGGGCCGGAGTCCCCGGCAGCCAGAGCTTCCCACTCTGCCGGGCCATCATGCACTCACGCAGCAGGGGGACCCAGCAGGGTGGCAAACTTGAATCTGAATCCAGGGCCCTATCCCCAGGCCCTCCGCACTTAACACCTGTACGACCCGGCCAAGATACTTGCTTACCTGCTTCGGACTTCACTTTCCTCACCTGGAAAATGTTGAACAAAATAAACAGTTGCTACTGCACGCAGAGGGTTATCGGGAGGACTAATGAGATCGGCCACGCAAAGCACTGAACACGGATGTGCTTGCGCCCGTGTGCATATCTAATGCTAAATCCTGAGGGCACAGGCCGCCCTAGGTGGTCAGTAAAATCACCAGAACACGGGGAGGACCCAGCTCCTCCCAGGGGCTGGTAGGGTCTGTGTCCGCTGGGTGTTCTCTCAGACTGGGGGCCCCTTCACAGCAGGGCCAGGCACCCCAGCATAAATGCTGAGTGAATGAATGACTCACAAGGCCAGGCCCTCTGAGCCATGTGAATTTCAGTCATTGAGTCCATTTGTCCTATGGGGAGCCTGGTGCTGCACGGGGCACTGTCTCCCAGGGGTGACAAGACAGATATCCCTGCTATCCCTGGGGTCCCTGGGGAGACATATACACCCGGGAATTGATGAACCAGGGTGATCAGGGCCGTAATGGGGGACGCCAGGCCAGCTAGGAGCTCAGAGAGGACTCCTGACACTGGGGAGTCTGGGAGGGCTTCCTGGAAGAGAGGGCATTTGAGCTGAAACTTAGAGGATGGGCAGGAGTTGGGGGCGGTGGCAGGGACAAGAACAAGTTCAGGAGAAATCACGAAATTATCGCTCTCCTCCACCAGCCCAGTTGCTCATGCCCTGGTCCAGGACCAGGTCGTTGGGGTCATACTTAAGGGTAGGGCAGAGGAGGAGGTGTGTCCACGGAAGGAGGGGGAATCCAGGAATGGGGTACATCGGGGAAGCTACGAGAGGTTCCAAAATGTGGGCTGGTCCACTGCGTTGATGTGGCTGCAAATTCACGAAGGGGCCATGGGGTGGTTGGAGGGGGGGGACACAGGGGTGACAGGGGAGAGAAGGGATGGGTATAGAGACAGCCTTCTGGAACCTGGGGTTAGCAGCCATGACTGCAGACAGGAAGGGGGGGGCTTGAATCCAGCTTGGTCATGTTATGCACACTGTGTGACTTTGGGCCAGTCATGCTCCTTCTCTGGCTCTCAATTCCCCAACTGCTAAACGGGATAGATAATGCAACAGGCACCACAGAGCTGGGTTCCTCCACCGAGGCACTGCGGACATTCAGGGCCAGACTGTTCTCTGTCGGGGGGCTGTCCCAGGCACTGTGGGGGACTGAGTGGCATCCCTAGCCCCCGCCCACTCGATGCCAGGAGCACCCCCAGTGTGATCACCACAGACGTCCCTAGACATGGCTCAGTGTCCCCAGGGGGCAAGATCTGTCTGTGATTCTTCTTAGGACACCTTTGGGCAGGAGGAGGGAGAGGTGGGGCCGACAAATGGGGAGTCTGGTAATAAGTAATTGGGGAGGGGTGGGTATTGAGGGCTCCTGTCTCTCACACCCAGAGGCAGAGTGCCCCTCTCAGGCTTGCCCAGGGAGGAAACGGAAATGGATCTCCCAGTACCCTGGCCTGTCCTCCTGGATTCTATACAAGCTCAGACGAACACCCCTCACCGCTCCCCCCCCACGCTGGGGCATGTGGGCACCACCATCCCCCTCTCTCGTGCCACACTCCATCTACCAGCCAACCCCACTGGCTGTCAGCTCCATGTACGTACCCAATCCTGCCTGCAGTCCAGCCCCATTGCTGCGGGCTCCATGTGGGGACACCGCTGCCCTGGTCTCCCAGCCCCTGCTCTTGTCCCCCAGCTTCCTGAAGCCTGCATCAACTCTTATGTCTCTCCTGCTGAAAAGCCTCCAACAGCCTCACTCAGCGTAAAATCCAGACTGCTCTCGGGGGGTCCCCAAGGGTCTACAGAAACTGGTCCCCAGGGCCGAATCCCACCCCCGCCTGGTTTTGTGCAGCTCAAGAGCTAAGAATGGTTTTTACACTTATAGGTGGTTTGGGCGGAAAAAAATCAAAAGAAGGGTAATATTTTGTGATCCATGAAAATGACCTGAAATTCACATTTCAGTGTCTATAAATAAAGTTTTATTGGGACAGAGCCTCACCCATTCGGCCTTGGCCGAATTGAGGTCTGAGGGCCCCCCGAAGACAAAAATATTACTGCCTGGCCCTTTTCGGGGAGAAGTGGTCCACCCCTGCTCTGAACAGCACCCTGGTCATCTCCCGGAGCTCACCTCCCCTACACTTGCCCTGGTCAGGCCCATTCCGTTGCAGTGGTCTCCTTTCTGGTCTGGGCCTCTGATCTTGCAGTGTCCTCCACCTGGAGCACCCTCCCTCCCCCACTGTCCACATGGCTGGCTCCTCTCCTGTTGTCTACCCTGGAAGGCACCTGAAGAGGGTTTTTTGGTTTTGGTTTTGGTTTTGGTTTTGATTGCTCTTCTCCCCACCTCCTACTGAATACATTCTGTTTCCTCTGGGTCTATTCCCTTACAATGTCAGAGAAGACAGCATTAAACCAAACATGGGGCCCTTCCGAGTGTGGGTCCGTGAAGCCAGGCCTGACCGCCAGCACCTACCACAGGGTCTGGAACATGGTTGGGACCCAGTAAATGTCTGTTGAATGAATTAAATAGTAACTCCAGAGAACAAAAAATGAGAGACAGACTTTCCAGGAAGCAGTGAGGCAGTGGGAATCTATGAACCTCTAAAAACTCCGATCTTCTTGCTTGTGGGATTTTTCTAAAACCTGACATAAGGGCAGGAGGCCGGCAGGAACCCAAGGACGAGGCTCACGGCTCCAGTTAAATCCCATCTTACAGATGGGGAAACTGAGGCCCGGAAAGCTCTGAGAAGGCTCAGAGCAAGTATGGCGATGTGCTGGGTGGGGCCTTGAGGGAAAGGCTGGTGGTAAAGAAGCAGAAAGGAGTGGGGAGGGTATGCCAGGCAGCTGGGAAGACAGGCCCAAGGTGTCGTGGCTGGTCTGTGTGCTGAGAAGACAGGATGAAAGGTCCCGAGAGATAGCTGGGGGCGGGGGGGTGGTGGTGGCGGTGTCTGTGTGTCTGCAGTCACGCAGTCACGGTGTCCGGTGTTCGCTTTTGTCCCTCTGGGGAGTGAACAAAAGCCGAACCTGACTCCTGCTGTCTGCCCAGAAACTGGAGCTGGCCGGTGGAGGGAGGGAGGGAGGGAGGGAAGGAGGGAGGGAGCTGCCCGAGCTGCCTGATGGGGGATGCGGAGGACGCCCCCAGGCCTCTTGGCGCTGCCCCTGCTCCAGCCCAGGCTCCTCCCCACCTCCCAGACACCCCAGACACCCTCACACCCCGTCTGAGGCTTTAACACCTGTCCTCCGCCCCCCCCACTCACCCCATACCTGTGCTATGCACCCAATACACCCATGTCCCAAATCAGGTGTCTTTGGTTTTTTTTTTAGCTGCACACACTTTTTGAAGGATTCAATTTCAGTATAAATCTACTTTTGAAATTAAACAATGATATGGTTTGGGTTACCGCTGGCTACAACATCTGAGGAATTCTTGGGGGGTAAACGTGAAGAGTCCACCTTAGGAACGGATTTCAAACAGGGTGAAGAATTTTAGGATCATTCCTCAATGAATGAGTCTGACTCTGTGCCACATTTTGTAAGTGGTTCATAAGCCATTTATTCCTGTCTGGGTCTCTCCCTACCTCTCTCTTTTTTATCAGTAGAGTCCCTCCCCCCTCAACCTGGGGGAAGTCTGGTGTCTCACTTCCTTGCTGTGTGACCTTGGGAAAGTTCCTTAAGCTCTCTGGGCCTCCCCTCCTCATCTCTAAAGTGGGATAATAAAAGCTCCTGCCCCATATGATTGTTATGAGGAATAAATGAGCTAACATCTGCAAAGCACATGGTAAACTCCTTATAGCGTTCAAAAACACACAAATAAAACAAAAACAAATAAAACCAAAAATAGATAAAATAAGTAAAAATGAACTCAATGATATTACATTTAAATTTTTAAAAATTAAATTAAAACAAATCAAAGGAAAAGGAATGTTAGGCTTAATAAATCATAGAAATAAATAAGATGAGTTGGGAAAACCTGAGGGGGCAACCGGCGGCTGGGGACAGACCCACAGTCACCCAGCCAGCTGGGAGGAGAATGCACTCAAACCCAGAGCCACCTGACTGTGTTCCTTTGTGTGAACTGTGTGTTCCTTTGCCCCCCCCCCTTTTTTTGGCTTTCCAGGACTCCTCGGGCTGGGCCCTCTTCAGCATCAGCCCGCTTACACGCTCTACTCCAGCCCAAGGAACCTGCTCGTCGGGATCCCAAGATGCCCTAAATCAACCAGGCCTGGCCCAGCCTCTGAACCTTTGCCCACACTGGTCTCTGTCCTCCAACCCTAGATTCTCTCAGTCAGTGCCCTGGACTGGTCCCCACACTGGCAGGGACCTGGGGGGCCAGGAGGGGGTGGTACGACTGAAAAAGGAACATCTCCCTCTGGGAGTTCACAGTCCAAGGTGTGGGTACATGGGAAGCCAGCTCCAGCCTACCTCAGGGCCTTTGCACTGGCTGTCCCCTCTGTCTGGAATGCAATTCTTGAAATATACACACAATTCCTTCCCTCTTTCCCTTCTGATCTTTGCTCTGATATCAGCTTCTTGGTGAGGTCTTTCTTGATAACTTGCTTTAAAATTGGAACCATCTTCCTTGCCCTGGATGCTCCCTTTCCTTGCTTTCTTTGTCTCCATGGTACAAAAAAAAAAAAAAATGCCTTTGCACTTACTTATCTTGTTTAGTATCCATCACCCCACTCAGTTGTCAGCTCCAAGAGAGCAGGCATTTCCTCAGTGCCTACAACAGTGCCTGATACAAACATTTGCTGAATGAATCCTCAAAAGCAAGAGATAAGGGTCCCTGAGAAATTGAGTCCTCAGAAAAGCAAGTTGTCACTGGAGCTTGGGAGAATGGACCTTCTTCCGGAAGAAGAGTTACTGGTGCCACATAGGGTGGGGGCTGTAGAGGATTTGACAGGCAGCAATGCATGCCGGAGAGGGCTTTCCCGGCAGAGAGGGCTTTCCCGGCCGGGGCAAAGGTCTGGTGGCTGGAAACTGAGCAGGGATGCAGTGAGGACAGGAGGGCAGCAGGGTGCAGTAGACAGGGAAGGGAAGAGAGGAAGCAGAAGCTACGGGGTGGGTGGTGAGGAACCTCAGGAGAGTCCAGAACATGGAGGGTCCTGGTCATATGGAAGCTGCCAGAAGGATCAGAGGAGGGGCAGAGGACAGTACTCCAAAGGCCCAGTGGCCAGGCCCTGGGGCACATGAGCCTGAAATGGGGGGGGTACCGGGCAACTCAGTGGCCTCAGACCCACCTCTGTCTTCTTAAATCGTGCCCGGAGGGTCTTCATGGCCGGCGTCCGATGGTTCTCTTCCACCTAGGCCACCTGGGGAAGCATAAGACTGGAGTGGGATGAGGCGCCTGGGGAATAGGAAGGTCACCCGCCTCCCCTTCCTCCAAAGGACCTCTTCCTCTCCCCTGGGCCATTTCAGACCCTAGAGCAGGACCCAGACGCAGGACACCCCATCTCCTAATTGCTGTGTGTCCTTTGGCAGGTCACTTGCCCTCTCTGAGTCTCACCTTCCGCAAACTTAAAATGAGGGAGATAGTCCCCTTTTGACCAACTTGTGGTAGGTTTTCAGTGAAGTCCCTAGCATAGAGCCCAGCAAACAGTAGGTGCTCAATATATGTACTTCACCCGTATTCCCTGTTGTCCAAGCAGATCAAGCCTTTTCTGGTCTCCAAGCTTCCATCTGTGCAGTTATTTCTACACAGAACGCCCTTTCTTCTCCTTCTTTTCTGGTGAACTCCTATTTACCCTTCACAGCCCAGTTCCCAAAATCCCGTGTTCTGATGAGCTTTGCCTGTTGTCCACAGGCTGAACTCTTAACTCCTCAAACTGGGTTTCCCTAGCCCTGGTTGGGTCCCTTCCTCTGCCCCAGCCCTGGCTTTGAAGGTTGGAAGCGTCTGGGCAGGTACTGTCTTCCTGAACAGTGAGGGGCACCTGGGGCACAGGCCCAGAACTGAGGCCCCTTAGCACAAAGGCACGGTTCTTGGATAATCAGAGAAGATTATCTGCAGCCAAGACCCCTTACATCAGGCTGGCATCTGTGTGAGGGAGAGCACGGAGGCAAGTCACCCCAGGTGAGCAGAGGTCCGGGGTGACGGCTGTATACATGTATATGCACCTGTCTGTCCAGCTGGGCCTGAGACATGTTCTTTGCGTGCACAGGGACAGAGAACAGGCAGACACATTTCAAGGTGTGTGGCTAGGGATTCCTTCCTATTTTGAGTCGGATTCCTGTGAAGACCCGTCCATCACCTGTCCAACCTGCCTGTGAATTCTCGAAACTATCCTTCCTTCTACCTGTCTGTTCATTCATCTATTCGCCTGTGCATCCAACCTCCTACCCAAGCATGTGTACAGCCATCCGCTGGCTACCAGCCACCAACTCACCTTCTCAAGGCTCTTCATGACCCTTCAACCATACTTCATCCACCATCCGTCCGCCCACCCACTTACATATTGAACAACCACCCAGCCACCCACGTCTACATCCAACACCCACCCATCCACCCACCTACCCACCTACCTACACATCCAACACTCAGCCAGGCAACACCCACCCATCCACCCACCCTACCGTGCATTCATCCGTTCATCCTTCCATTTACCCACCCATCTATCTACTGACCACCCACTCATCCACCCACCCCTCCACCAATCAACATACCCATTCACTTAGCACTCACCCTACCCTTTCTCTTCCACCTCTGTCTCAATCACACCCAGGGCAGAGTGTAATAAGACACCCTAGAGGAGTCCACAGGTTGGCTGGGCAGGAGGGGATCCGTGGGCTTGGGGGATGGGACTAGCTTCCTGGAGGAGGTGATGATATATAAAGGAGGGTCTGATGGCCAGGCAGGATGCTAAGAGGGGCAGCAGCAGTTAAAGAGGGTATGTACCCTAAAGGCTGGGAAGTGGGAAGTGCGTGCATGAGTGTGTGTGTGTGTGTGTGTGTGTGTGTGTGTGTGTGTGCGCGCGTGAGAGAGAGAGAGAGAGAGAGAGAAAGAGTGCTGGGAAGTTCCTCAGCGTAGCCGGGACATACACGGGCCTCTCCTTGCTCCTACACACCAGGGCTCAGAGGCAAGGGGCTGAGGCCCTAACCAGCGCCTCCATCCCAGGCTTCCCTCACTTCCTCCTCTCCTACCTCCTGCAACTCCAGTGACTCTGGCCTCCTCGCCCACCGCTGGCTCCAGTTACCTGCTCCCAGCTGGGCCACCAGCTCACACCGGCAGCTCCAAGTGCTCAGCTCAGACACCCGATCAGCTCTGAGAGGGCAGCCGCCCCAGGGGGCCGGGGATGGGCAGAGGGAGGAGACAGGCTGGCCCCGGGGCTGCCTGCTGGCCAACGAGCCCTGGTGGGAAGACACCAGCTCTCTTCCACCACCCTCTACCTCTCTTCCGAGCCTCTGCACTTGCTGTTTCTCCACCAGAAACGCCCCTTCTGTACCCCAAGTCACTCCCAACAGGCTCACTCTCCCCGTCTCATTCCTACTCACTCTTCGGAGCTTTGGTGCAACACCCCCTCCTCCAGGAAGCCTTCCCGGGTGCACCCAGGCTGGGTCAGGTGCCTCCTCTGAGCTCTCTATGGCCCGTTGCCCTCATGGCACCTTAATCACACTAAGTCACCATCTCCCGGTCACCGGTCTGTGTCCACCTCTCGCCACAAGGTGCCGCCTTTGTTCTCCAGGGTCTCCCCGGCACGGTTGGTGCTCCACACGTCTCTTAAATGCATCCTCAAGGCCACCAGCCCCAGTGCCCTTGAGCAGTCTCTTAGCGGTGCACCTGGCCTGCCGAGCGCAGACGACCACCGGCCCGGATGACGTTCGGGTAATTCGTGGTGAGGCCCTACGTTGCCCCCCGCACACGTGCACGAGTGCCCTGCCTTGGTGACTTTGTGAACTCCTGAAATGTGCAGCGGAAAGAGCCGCGACTGGAAGCACGAGTCCTCTGTCCTCGTGAGGGACGTGGGGACTTCAGTTTACTCATTTGCAAGAAGAAAGGGGGCACCGGTTGCTTGTGCCCCTCATTTGAGAGGTGACTGGAGGGAGGGCTGTCCCGTAGGCGGCTGCCCCTGTCTCCCGCCACCCGCCAGCGCTTCGAAGGAAGCGGACGTCTCTTTGCCCGCAGTTGAGATGGCGCCTGAGGCGTCAGACGAGGCGCGTGCGCCTTGGAGGGAGAGGCCGGGCGCGTCGAGGGGAACGCGACTCCTCCTCCTCCCCCCTCCTGTCCCGCCCCGTTTCCGGCGGAAGCGGCCTCAACAAGAGAAACTTTATTGTTCCCGCTGGGGCGGCGAGGATGTCGGTGAATTACGCGGCGGGGCTGTCGCCGTACGCGGACAAGGGCAAGTGTGGCCTCCCCGAGGTGAGCTCGGCCCCGCGTCCCGAAGGCCGCCCCCGGCGCCGCGGGCTGGGCGGGGCCGGACAGCAGCGGGGCATTGTGGGAATATCGGGAGGCACTGGGGCTAGACAATGGGAGGGACTTCCCAGGGAGGAGGGGGCGGGAAGTGACGCCCCCTGCGCTCCCGGGGCCCGGGACGCCCCCAGCCCCGGGTCGGCCGGGCTGGACCGAGCGAGGCCCCCGCGTTGCGGGAAGTCCTGAAGTTCTGATGGGGGAAGCGAGGGGACGCAGTTGCAGGCGGAAGGCTCGGCAGGGGCGAAGGCGAGGAGGTGGAAATAAACACACTTGGGGCACCAATTAGGCCAGAGCCGGGACCGCCGGGGCCGCACGTGCCAGACTGGGGAGCTGACACTTTATCCTGAGGGTGATGGACAAGGGTTTTAGGTTGGATGGACGTAGATATGTGTCAGGAAGACCCCTTCTGCCGCTGCAGGACTTGGGGTGAGTCACTTCCCTTCTGGGTCCCCTCGTCCCTCTGTAAACTGGGGGGAAGATTGCCCCCGTCCCCTAAAGGCTGGCTGTGCGTTCTGAGGGAGGCATTTAATATGAGCCCTCAGAATCCCTCCGAAGCCCCTCTCTTTTCTTCCTGCCTGTCGCTTGATTCCACAAACATTTATTGAGCACCCACTGGGCGTCAGGCACTTTCTCAGCCCTGGGACCACGGTAGGGAACAAGGCATACAAAACCCCCTCATGCTAGCAGGGAGACAGACACGGAGCAAGTAAATATAAGAAGTCCGATGATGGTGGGCGCCTGGGTGGCTCAGTTGGTTAAGCGACTGCCTTCGGCTCAGGTCATGATCCCGGGGTCCTGGGATCGAGTCCCACATCGGGCTCCCTGCTCGGCGGGGAGTCTGCTTCTCCCTCTGACCCTCTTCCCTCTCGTGCTATCTCTCGTTCTCTCTTTCTCAAATAAATAAAATCTTAAAATAAATAAATAAATAAATAAATAAATAAATAAGTAAATGTTTGTGGACTCAAACCTCCTGAGAGTGAGTTCCTGCGGGATGTGTCCTTCTATGTCCGGCTCCTCTCGCTGAGCATGGTGTCCTCGGGGTCCCTCCACATCGTGGCAGGTGTCAGGGTCCCTTCCTTTCTGTGGCTGACCGATGTTCCAGTGTGTGCATGGACCGTGTTTGTGTATCCTTCATCCATCTACAGACCCTCAGATTGATTCCACGTTTTAGCGATTGTAAATGATGCTGCTGTGAACAGGGGTGTGCAAATGAGATGACTTTTGAGCCAAGACCTAAAGGAGGTGAGGGAGGAGCCATGTGGGAGCACTCCAGGCAGAGGGTACAGCCCATGAAAAGGTCCTGAGGCAGGACCAGGCCTGGTGTGCTGGAGGAATAGTGAGGAGGCATGTGTGACTGGAGCAGAGTGGGCGAGGGGGAGAGAGGGAGGAGGGGAGGGTGGTCATGCAGGGCCTTGAGGGCCGCTGGGAGGGCTTAGGCTTTTACCCTGAGGAATGTGGGAGCCCCAGAGGGCTGTGGGCAGAGGAGGGACATGAGGACAAGCTGCCTTTTCCAATCGGCTCTCCCCACTGGGCAAGGCAGGGGCATCCCAATCTGTGGCTAGTTGCTTTGCCACTTGGGACACGTTTTGACCTCTCCATTCTGCTCTGTCCCCTGGCAGATCTTCGACCCCCCTGAGGAGTTGGAGCGGAAGGTGTGGGAGCTGGCACAGCTGGTCTGGCAGTCCTCCAACGTGGTGTTCCACACAGGTGCTGGCATCAGCACCGCCTCGGGCATCCCTGACTTCAGGTCTGTGGGCATGCAGGGGAAGTTGAGGCAGGGCCTGCCACACCGCCAGCAGCTTCCCTGTTAGCTCACAGAGGCTTGGGCATCAGAAGCCATCCTACTGCCTTCCCCTTGGGGGTGTTGGGCACTGGAAAGACCCCGCCCTTTTAATCGCGGCCCTTTAAGTCATGTGCAACATTCCACTCACACCCCATTGGCTAGAGCATGGTCACCTGACCGTACCTAGCTGCAAGGGATCCTGGGCAATGTAGTCTCTTGCCTGGGCTCACCATGCATGCCTAAATACTGGGGTTCTATTACTTTAGACGATGGGAAGAATTGATATCAGGGGCAATTAGCTCCACGCTCACTTGCAAATATTCTTCTATCGGACCTGGTGTCAGGCAAGTGGCTTAAACCATCCAGACCTCAGCCTCTCACCCATTAACAAGGGTGTGGGACCAGACAGTGTCTAGACTCCTCTCTCCTTGCGCATCATGTGTTAGACAAGAGTCTTCTTGCTGAAGTGTCCACGTCTCAACGGGCACCCCCCTAGTGGCCCGTGTAGGCACTGAGTTTGCAACCCTTCCCCAACGACTGTGCCACCCAGGCGCCCCAGATTCCTGGTCCTGGAAGGAATGTTAGGCTTCTAAGGCATGACTCCCTCCCACCCCTCCTTCACAGTCTGCCATGGCTCCCCACTGCCACACAGGAGAGTTCCAGGTACTTCGGGCTGGAAATCAAAGCTCTTCCTGCTCCGGCCTTGGGACATCTCTCCCACCTCAGCCCCTGCTGCTCCCAGACCACTTGCGTTTCCCCAACGCATGGGCTGTTGTCAGTCCCCCTAGGCCTCTGCTTAGCCCTTCTGCCTGAGTTGCTCTGCCCTTTCCTCGCACAGTTGAAGAGACAGCTCAGCCTCCTCCAGGAAGCCTTCCCGCACTCCCCGTGCATAGCCCCCACCACCTCCACTGGGCTCCTCCAGTTCCACAGGCTGCAGGGTCTGTGGCCGCTTGTGTCCCCCCTCCACAGGACGGAGGACTCCTCGAGGGCAGGGCCCGGGTCCACTAGGACCCCAGCAGCACCCAGCACAGGGCCAGGCTCAGTGCAGCAGCAGGAAATGCTGAGTGAAATGAATAATTTTTTGCCCTCGTGCACCACATCCTCCCTCCTCTGCCCTTACCCTCCCCTTTTTCCCTCCCCTCTCTTTGTCTTGCTTCCTCTGTCTCTCTCTATCTCTTGTCTCCCTGATTCTCTGTCTCTGTCTCTAATGCTCGATCTCTTATTCTGTATCCTTGTCTCCTTGAACCCTAAACTCTCCGTGTCTCTCCCCACCTGCCGCCTTCAGGGGCCCCCATGGCGTCTGGACAATGGAGGAGCGGGGCCTGGCCCCCAAATTCGACACCACCTTTGAGAGTGCGCGGCCCACGCAGACGCACATGGCGCTGGTGCAGCTGGAGCGCGTGGGCCTCCTCCGCTTCCTGGTCAGCCAGAACGTGGATGGGCTGCACGTGCGCTCCGGTTTCCCCAGGTAACCCCCAGCTTCCGGCCCCGCTTGGCCTGGGCCAGGCCACCCCTCTCTCTGGGCCTCAGTTTCTTCATCTGTAAAATGAGCATGGTTGCCAGCCCTTCCCTTGTGAGGCCACCGTGGCGATCTAGTGAGGCGGCAGGGAGAAGCACTTGGCGCCCAGTAGGGCTCTGTGAACCAGAGCTGTCGTGCACTGTCACTACCTCCTGAGTCCCATTTTGGAGGACGAAGCACTAATCCCCCAGCACCCACTGCGTGCAGACAGGAGCAAAATGGATCACACCCAACAACCATTTACAACCACTTACCCAGTGCCCACTGGCACCGCACGCTGTTCTAGACACAGGATGCTGGGCGCACAAGACAGAAGCTCTGCCCTCCCGGGACTTATGCTCTGGTGGCGAGGAAACAGAAGACGAGATAAATTAGTGAATTGCATTCTAGGTCAGGCGGTGATCACTGCCAGGAAAGAGAGGAGGAGGTAGGGTGGGCAATGGAGCCTGTGACAGGGGGGTTGTGACATAGGAGTGGGGACGTGAGGGAGGTGACCAAGGGAGGCAGGGGAAGAGCCCAGGCCTGATCATTGCTCCTCCAGATATCCCAAAAGTTAGGCACTGCTGTCCCATTTCACAGACGGGGCCTGCCCGAGGTGACACAGCTGGGAAGCAATAGAACCGGGAGTTGATCCCCTGTTCCTCTGCTTCCAAAGCTCATGCCCCCTGGGCCACCCATCGCCTCAGGTTCTTCCTTTGCAAACTGGGGATCAGAACTCCTGTCCTTCGGACTTGGTGACATTCGGAGGTTCCGACATGATTGTGGATGGATTTTGTGCGTGGAATGGGCTGTCTGTGAACAGAGGTGGGGTCAGCCATGAGGGATAATGATTCCTCGGGCTCGGAGAGGTTGGGCCATCTGGTTGAGGTTGTACAATGTGTGGATGGTGGAGTCAGCAGCCAGAGGCACCAGAAGGAGAGAGTCCATTGATCCTATGGATGAAGGCTTAGGGAAGGCTTCCTGGAGGAGGAGGGCTCGGTACTTGGTCTGCAGCCTCAGGAACCAGAACCCTGTGCCACGGCTACGTGTCTTTCTTCTCCTCCCACAGAGACAAGCTGGCGGAGCTCCACGGAAACATGTTTGTAGAAGAGTGTGTCAAGTGTAAGACGTGAGTGCCATGGGGGTGGGGGGAGTTAGGGTTAGAACGGGCCGGCCCCATTCTCTGTCACCTCCCAGGTCAGGCTCTGCGTAAGGGCCTTATGCGTCTCCTCAGATGTGGCCAGAGACCCCGGCTGGGGTGGGGGCTGGGGGCTTGTGTTCCTCCTGGGGAAGCAAGTTCCCCTCCTGCGCTGCGCTAGCGATGACCACAAGCTGAACAGCTCGAAACAGAAATGTGTCATC